TGGTTTTGTTAAGAATATTTGGAGAAATCATTCGGGTTGTTTGGACAGCCGGGGAAACCCAGCGGGAAGCCTCCAACAGGCAGTGTGGAGAGCCGGGCTCCTGAAGGGCAAACCAAGCCAATCTGAGGCATACCGGCATCAAGGAGTTAGGCCTGCGTAGAAACTTGATCATTTAGTTAGGGGGTACGAAATATTACTCATTAACCATCTGTCTATGACTGTTTACTTAGAGCAAGCGTTTGACTTATGAGGTCTCTAACTGTGGTTTTGAAGGAGTGATACTCGTAGCCTAGTTCCTTTGCCGCCGTCTCTCCATCAAGTCCATGAGACTCATCAATGGTCTGATTTTCCAGCCTTATGCCATCCTTTAACTCAGGGAAACCTTCACTAATGATATCTGCGGCCATTGCGTAAGAAAACCGCTCTGGGGACGCCGGGGTGTATCTTTTCCCTCCAACCTCGGCCTTCAGCAGCGATTCGACATGCGCAACCGCCAGATCTCTGACATCAATCCAGAACGGGACTCTGGCCACTGGCAGGGGGTTCTCTCCTCTTGCAACCTTCCACAGCATAGCATTCGACTCGTTGAGCCTGTCCACGCTGGGAACAGGGTGCACCACGGGTCCAAAAGTCATCGGCGGACAGAGGGTCACTATGCTAAATGCCGGCTTCTTCTGCTCGACAAACTTCCAAGCCTCCAGCTCGGCAAATTTCTTGGAGCCACGGTAAGCTATCACGGCGCTTGTAGCAGGGTCGGCCGCCTCCTCGTAAGAAAGAGGGTTCCAATCCGCTCCCGTGTATGTGAAGTAGGGCGGGGCCTTGCGGTTTGCGTCGAGAACGGAGGCAAAGGATGATGTTATGACGACGCGCTCGACGCTCGGGCTTGCGGATGCGGCTTTCAGTATCGCTCGAACTCCATTTATAGCAGGTATAATGAGTTCCTTCTCGTTGTTTGTGGTATCGTAGGTGAATGGCTGCCAGAAAAAGTAGTCAGTCGTCTGGCAAGGTTATCAATGTAATTGGCACACTTACACTTGCTGTGTGAATGATGCCGTCGACCCCTTCAACGGCCTCCACCAAGCCTCCAGGGTTTTCGAAATCATCGATCTGGACGAATTCGAGTTTCCCGACATATTGCGGTCGGGCTCTGATCATTTCATCTCCTTTCGCAAGCGTCCGAGTGGCACCACGGACTCTGAGGCCTCGTCCAAGAAGAGTGTCCACAACGTGTGCGCCGATGAACCCCGTCGCTCCGGTGACGAGGACAAATTCGAGTTGGTTCGTTCCAGCCATGTTGATGTTTCGCGGCCACAAGTTGGTCGAGCCTCACAGTTCACGATGCTCGCTGGAAAGCGGATGGTGGCGATGTGAACATACAGAAGAGAAATACAGTTCAAATCCCTCCCCCACGTCATCGTCACATTTTCTCAAGGTGGACTGTGGAGACGATACCACCGTATTGCATGAATCATCTGCATGGGAGCTACGTGTAAGACAGCCCAGAGTGGATAGAAATACCCTCACCTCTCGCAGCCCGAGGCAATGGTTCCGTTAGCACATCAGTTGAACTGTAGCACCCGCATTATTACTCCACTAGAACGGCCCTTTCAAGCATGCTCGTATATTATCCAAGCGGCATTTGCCTTCCAGTAGCTAGTCCATAGCCCTTGTTGCCGCTTATCCCCGCCCACGAAAGTGTTTTTTGCCAGTCACAAGTCCAGAGAGAACGGGTCTGCCGCCTACACCCGCCATGACAGGGCAAAATCTCGAGTCAGGCCGGTGGGTTCATCTCCTCGCCCCGCAATAATCAAATGTTTCTACCCCATGGGGGAGGCAGGGAAGCCAGAGGTGCAGACGCCTACCGAACCCCTCTAGTGTTGCTGCATCTCATGATCCAACCTTCTCCTCCAAGGCCTGTGTGGTAGTGTCTTGATTCCGATCATCCGCAAGGGCAAAGTTACACTATCGGCTGAAGAGGCGGATGCCATGTGGCGTCTCCGTTGATTTCCTTGGTTGTGGTCTTGGTCACCACCCCTGGGTAGCACATCCTGGTTTGATCTCGAGCTCACCTGCAGGGCGCAGATATTTAGCCGTGCAGATCCCTCTGGTTTCGGATCCCCTTGAACCTTCTCTTCAGTCACCAGTCTCTGTTTCCTGGCCAGACACAGGTCGGACAAGAACATAAACCACGAGCGCGGTTTCTATACATACCAAAGACTTCGTCGCCAAAAACAATCTCTACTGGGTTGTGGCACTCTCTGCCAATTGAGCCATCATGGGTTTAGCAAACCTCTCAAACCGTCTGAGCGGCACACCTCTTATCACGGCCATTACCATTGCCAATGCCTGGTACACAGCCTCCTCCTCCTCTTCCCAAGGCATCCACGAGCTCTGCAGCTAATTCGTTCTTCCAGTTCCATGGCATGGTTCGGTTACGACCAAGGAGTCTTCTCCGGCGTTCTCATCTCAGCCGACTTCAAGGTTCACTTCCCCGAGACCCGACAGGCAAACATTTCCGGCATCACCTCTAGTTGCTTCTCCGTACGTCCACGCATTATCCTGTTCACGGCCGAAATCTAATATGAAATATAGCTTGGGGCTTTCTTTGGCGCCATCTTCGCTTTCACTGCCGGTGACAAACTTGGGCGCCGAAAGGCCGTGGCCCTGGCTCTCATCTGCAACGCCGTCGGTGCGGTCCTCCAAATCGTCGCTTGGCATCTGCCCCAGATGATCATCGGCCGAGTCATCAATGGCTTCGGAATGGGATTGTCGTCTGCCACCTGTCCCGTCTACCAGGCCGAGTGTTCCAAGCCCCGCGTTCGAGGAAAACTGGTCGTTGTCGGCTCGCTCATGAACACTGCGGCATTCTGCCTAGCAAACTGGATGAACTACGGACTCTTCTTCCAGGGAAACGCTCTGCAATGGAGGTTTCCTCTCGGATTTCAGTTGATCTTCCCCATCATTGTCGCCACTGCCCTTCTTTTCTCGCCCGAGTCCCCAAGATGGCTTCTCCTCAAGGACCGACACGACGAGGCCTTGAACGTTATTGCTCGACTGGAAGGCTCCAATAAGAGTGTTGATGATGAGGACGTACAGGCACAGTATCTGTCTATCCGCGGAGCTCTAGAGCAGGAGCGGGACAATGTCGTCCCCGCCCTGGATGTCCTTCGCTGCCGCGACAAGACGCAAAACCTCCGAAGAATCCTGCTGTCCTGCGGCACACAATTCATGCAGCAGTTCAGTGGTGTCAATGCTCTGGGATACTACCTGCCCACACTGCTGCAACAGAGCGTCGGCTTGAGCGAACAGCAATCCCGCTTGATGACAGGCATAAACGGCACCATTTACCTTTTCTCCGCCATGTGCTGCTTGCTCATCATCGACCGGTTCGGCCGCAGAAAGTAAGTTCTTTGCTCCAGTACCTTGACCGAACATGGCTAATGATTACAAGGATGATGTTGTACGGATCGTTGACTATGGGCTCTTGCTACCTCGTTGCCTCAATGTGCCTTAAGAATGCTGCAGGCGCAGATGATGACCGCGAGCAACTTGTGAGTGCTACAACAGAGAATCGCAAAATGAATCATACTGACAGACAACCTAGCTCGGGAGGGTCACCACAGCCATGTTCTTCCTCTACTACTTCTTCTATGGTACCAGCTTCGCCAAGGTTCCCTGGGTGTACAATTCCGAGATCAACTCTCTCGGCTGGAGAACTCGCGGAGCAGCAGCTGCCACAGCGACCAACTGGATGGGCGGCTTCATCGTGACGCAGTTCACCAAAGTTGGTGTCGATAACCTCAAGTGGAAATTCTACCTGAGTAAGTCTCATCTGGACCCCATGCCCTTCGGACTCGGTGAAATGTTTCTAACAAAATTGTAGTCTACGTCATTCTCTGCTGGTCTTACTTCCCCGTGGTGTTCTGCCTGTATCCTGAGACGTCGCGCCGCACCCTCGAAGACATGGATGAGATCTTCATCAACTATCCTGGCTTGTTAGTCTTCGGCAAGTCTACCTTGACTCAGCGCGAGCGCCCCCAGGCCTTTATCGACGCGGAGACGGCTCGTATCGCCGCCATCTCGGACGCCAAAGAGACCGGTGAGCTTCATAAGAGCTCCGGAGTCGCGCACGAGGAGCGAGTTTAATTAGTCACTGAGACTGTTAGCACGGTGAGCCTTCATGCAAATGGAGGTTAAGCGGAAGGCATGTTTTCGGCTGGTGTCCCATTCTATCTTAATGATATGATTCTGGGATTTCATCATGTCTGAAGGGCTGGCTAACACTTTTTGTGGCAATTATTTACCTTTCACAATTAAGTCCATTATCGTTAACCATGACATAATGTCATGTATTTTTCAATCACTTATAACAAAATCTATGTAATTATTCAACGTCCTGTCGTCTCATTGCAGAGCCAAAAGTGTCAATAATGCTGTGAAGGATCACTATGAACACGTTCAATTGTAAACTTATGATAACCTTCGTGAGATGCTTCAATCAAGCCTGGGTATCTGAAGCCCAATCGCAACAATTACTTGTTGTCTCTCAATGTCTCAATCGTTTTCTCATAAAAAATCAATCAGATTTCGCATGCAGCTGGACCCATTATTTGGTCTTTATATAGCAACCTGTTGGTTGTGTTGGTTCTGCCTCTGTCTTCTAATGCATGCAGTGCAGCGTAGCAGTCCGATTGTCTCTTCCTTTGCAGGCTCCCTCTTGCTAAATTTACCCATTCTGTTGCATATTCGTCTTACCAACAGCGCTTGGCTTATGTCACGCCACACCCAACTGGTTGATGGAACGATGCAAAATGGTTCCCCGTGTGATCCCTGGGTGAGGCTGTGGTCTATTTTTATAGCGACCTCGGTGAATGAAATACTGGTGACCTTTGCTGCCCCCTCTCGAGTCGAGTCTACTTTGCCAACGCCTTTTGCGACGAATCAAGCTGCTCACCATCAATCACACTTCACAGTAGAACTCATTTTGTCAGTACTCCAAAATGCGGCTATCTAGATTCCTCGTCGCTACGTATCTCCTGCTCGTCGGAAGCGCCTTTGCCCTTCGAGCAGCAACAGGTCACGCCGCCGGCATCATGGCCAACGGTGCTCGAGATCTGAACCAGCCACCTGCAAGACTAGGTCAGAGGGCTCCTCCTGTTCGCGTTGCAAAGACCCGCGTGCGCACGAGGCCAACAAGAGCAAAAGGATGGTCTGGGAAACGCGAGAAGAGCAAAAAGCCCCCGAAGAAACCCGCGCCAGCTCCAGGGCCTCCGAGCCAAGATCTCCTGCGCGGCGGGGTGAGTCCATGGAAACCTACTCAGTCGCGATACTGGGCAACTGCTGATACTTGCGCCCTAGAAATGCGGGAAAGGACTCGGGAATAGCGCTGGACACTGTTCATTTGTCGTAAACCAGAAGCGCACATTCCTCCCCTGCTGCCCTGAGGAAAAGCTGAAGGTAGGTGACCCCGATGGACAGGAACTGCGCAGACGTGAAGCTGATGCGATGGCCTCGTTAGTGTAAAGTGTTGAATACAGCCTGCAATGAAATCCCTGGGAAAAAGTGTGCCAGGTGCCAGCAGCCTTAGCTCACCAGCACGCACTGGCCTCTCGTCCGCTTATCCAAGTTTTGGTCAGCCCGTCTCATCGTGGAATGATTAATTCAGATTCTCTTCGCGCGCGGCAATGACAAAGGAACAGGTCCACCGATGCCAGACTGTCCAATCACGCCGAAACGGATCAAGGCTCCCACCCGGATATACGGTTCAGTCGCCATCAGCGTTATTCCAGCCCTCATCCTTTGCACGTCTCAATCCTCAGCTCTAGACCTATCAGAGCAGGACTATGGCTTCATCTCGGTGGGAGATTGATAAGGCCGTGTGGGATATGCCAGACGGCAGATTCTCAGCATGGTTCATCTAAACTGTATCCCATGTCTCAATGCTAAGGCAACCAACACAACTGTATAAATAAATGGATGGGTCTCCCATTTTCAACAGGAGGATCTTTCGCCAGCCTCATAGCCAATAGAGCCTTAAGAGCTTCGTCTCGAAAATTCCATCTTTGGCTTCATCTGTATATCCTGCTCAAGATTCTCACCCCCGAACATCAAAGACAATGATGCGAACTGTCGCGAGCGCAGCCCTTCTTGTTGGGCAAGCTTTCGCATATGACCAGCTCCTCAACTTCAAAGCTGCGCCTGTATACGAAAACCGCTCTCTGGACGAAATTCACCAAGCTGCCCTGAAGGAAGGCGGAGTTGTCACCGTATGGCACGGTGGTGATGAGGCCAATCAGCAGGACGCGCTTAAGCAAGCTTTCGAGACCCGGTTCCCAGGAATGACCCTGAACATTACTGTCGATCTCTCTAAGTATCACGATGGTCGTCTCGATCAGCAGCTTGGAGAGGGTAATGTCTATGTTGACAGTATTATCCTCCAAACGCTCCATGACTACCCCCGTTGGGCTCAGGAAGGCGCCCTGTTGAGCTACGCCCCCGTCGGCTTCGATCAGATTGAACACTCCTTCAAGGATGACACTGCTGCCTGGTATGGCCTGTATGTCTTCTTCTGGTCTGGGGCTTTTAACACCGAGAAGCTGCCTGGGATCGAACCTCCTGTTGAATGGAATGACTGGCTGCGCCCTGAGTTCAAGGACAAGCTTGTCATCACCTACCCGAACGACGATGATGCTGTGACATGGGCATTCTATCTTGTGTAAGTATCCCTTCTGCCTCCCCTTTTCTCACCTCGCAATGGCGTCTTGAAAATGTTGACTAACTGTCCCACTTCCCCTTTCAGGATGCGTCAATATGGCACTGAATGGTTTGATAAGGTGATCGCTCAGAACCCTCGCTGGGTCAGGGGAACCCAGACTCCCAGCACCCTGGCCAGCGCCGCCAACAGCACCTCTGCCGCCTTCTTCGCAGGTTTCGGGGGCTTCGGCTCCAGGGGCAACCTCAACTTCACGGTCCCCACGGAGGGCAAGTACGTCTCGTGGCCCCAGACCGGCGCCATCCTCAAGGACGCCCCCCACCCGGAGGGAGCCAAGCTCCTCCACAACTTCATCCTCACGCCCGAGTACCAGCAGGCAACCGGCCTGTGGCCTGTCCGTCGGGACGTCGCCCCTCCTGCCGGGTTCCCTGATCTCTGGACCGCCAACGCCACGAACCCGGCTGAGTTCGCCCGGTTCATGGCTGATCGTCCTCTTGTTGAGAGGTTGAGGTTCTTCTTCGAGGCTAAGCTTGGTACTGCCGTGGGTCTTGACCCTATCGAGGATGATATTTAGACATGTGTGGCGTGTGGAATGTATCAGTGTATAAAGACCTACATAGAATAGATTGATATATAGAGGGTTATCTCATGCTCTTTGACTTTTAAAACTAGAGAATATAGTAGTTCGGGGCTTTTTAAGTGGCAAAAGTTCGATCCTTTGTCGCATCCTGGAACTGTGAAAAGTTGAGGCTGCTGAGCCACACTCTACAATGGCCATTTGGCCAAGTTTGTGACTTAGATTTGGCACACATCTCGCATCAGCCTGGATATCGCACAATCATGCTTCTCGTCAAGACGAGGGCATGCATCAAAGCACACGAAAGGCATAAGAGAGCACATAGACAGCGATAAGATCACGTTTCAAAATCCCAATAGCAATGTAACGATTGAGAAATAAAAGCCCACAATGTATTGATACAATTATCCTGTGTATCCGGGTCGTTATATACACTTTATGCATCTTGCTGCTTGGTTTAACCCTTATCCGGTATATGATGTCCTGATCCTATACGTAAATTCCCCCTTTGCCCTTGTTCATAATTGGAAAAAAATGATTCATGACTCTACCCTACCCCTCCATTTAGAAGTACTGGAACTTGCCAGGTCTGCTGGGCCTTGGAGGCTTCACGGGGGTGCTGGGAGTCGTGCCGTCGCCGTTGACGTTCTCGTTGATGAAGTCCAGCAGGGCGCCCAGGCGGGCATAGACGCCGGAGAAGCCAGCCTCGGCGCATCCCTGACCCCATGAAACGAGTCCGACCAGGGTGCCGGACGCGTCAATGATGGGGCCACCGCTGTCTCCGGAGCAGGAGTCCTTGCCTCCCTCCTCAAGACCGGCGCAGAACATGGTGTCTGTGATGGCATCCTGGCCGTACTGAGATCGACACTTTTGGCGGGAGACGACGGGGACGGAGACCTTCATCAGGTCTGCTGGGAGGTCTTGTCCGTTCTCCTGCAGGAGACCCCTGTTTGAATGAATCAGCTTTTGCTTAAGGAATGCAGTTTGCAGTAGGGAGGAGACAGAGCGTGGAGGGTACTTACCAGCCTGCAACTGTGACGGTGGAGTTGGCAGCGGGATCGGAGCCGTCCTGGGGAAGAGTGGCATAGGCAATTGAAGAGCCCTCCTCGATGGACTGGGCCAGCTGCCAAACAGCGACATCGTTGCTAATGGTGCTCTCGTCGTAGGCGGGGTTAACAGTGATGGAGGAAACACCGACTTGGGTACCACCGGAAGCCCATGTCTATTGTAGACAGTTAGTCTCGAATATTTCCTTTCAAGAGAACGGCGGATCAGAGGGAGTTTGGGAGCAACGTACCAGACTTCCAGCGCGGACCTTGACAGAGGATGCCTCTGTGTCCACGGAGCAGTGCGCAGCAGTGAGTACGGTGTTCGCGTTGAGCAAGACGCCTCCGCAGAAGTGGGAGCCGCTCTGCGACAAGCTGACAATGAATGGAAAGTCGCCGGCCTGGGCCTTCTCACCACCGACAATGGTTGCGCTCATGCCGCCATCGCGGGTCGGGAGGGCTGCGGTGAGGGCGGGGAGAGCCAGAGCGGCGGCGAGTGCAAGCTTAGGAGCCATGATTGTATAGAGTTGGTCTCGAGAAAGAGTGTGACTGAATGAATGATTGAAGAGGAGGATGTCCGATGAAGAGCGACCCAGATGGTTTCAAGAAACAGGACCTGGGACGTATTTATGCGACAAGTCGACGCAATGCAACCCCTACTGCCGCCGGGGCAGCCGTTACAGATCACCAACGACTGGGTTTCATTGAAGCAGATCGGCGAAAGGCCTGTTGAAGCCAATACACGATTCCCCACAGGGACAAAGATTGAGATTCCTATTGAAGTATCGGGCTCCAGTTTCGATAGCCCGTGCAGAGGGAACATTAAAGCAGAGTGCGACCGTGGGTCAAACTCCAGCGCCGACGACAAAGTACGACAAACTAGGATTGCCCTCCCCTCCAAAAGGCACCAGGTTTGGGAATTAGCCCCCACATGCTGTTACAGTTGCCGGTCTCAAGTGGCCATCGCATTGATGGACTCATACCCAATCGGTTCTCTTCTGCCCCAATTGGCAGCTGAATTCGCGCTTCCGTGTCAGGCGAAACGCTGATCGGTGCCCAGGGTTAAGGTGAAAAGCCTTATGAGAGGCGCCTATGCAATGCCACTGCCGTGCTTCCGCCGGCTCTCAACTTGAGACGTAAAGGGGGCGCGTAACAGGGGTAGATGGGGCCATGTCCACCACAGAAGCGTTTCACAAATGACAGCCAGCAGCGAAGCAACGCGTTTATTCTAGCCCAGGATATCTCATCCAATAGCGTCAGGAAAGCTGTTGGTCAAACGCTGCCGAAGGCGGTTTAGACTGCTCTCGTACGATCGCCCGCCACGGCTCCTTTTCTGAGCCCGTTCCTGCGTGCTCATAGGCTCTTTGCAGTATGTGCCAAAATTAACACTAATTTAATCCACCACCTCAGATTCGGTGAGGCAGTCTGGATTGGATTCTAATTGGAGAGAAGAACAACTTGGTCTTTTTGCCTTGAAATGTCCAAGGGATGCCGATCTGGAAGGACTTTTGATATCAACGTAGAAAGCTCCGACCAACACAAGCATTGAAAACAGGGGCGAGGATGAGCTAACAGCTTGCTCCTGTTGATCACTTCTTCATTACGTCAGGCCTCTCCTCCACGTCGTACCACAGGGAATGCGAAATCACTTATCTCCTCAGCGGATCGCACGAGCATCGCCCAGCTGCCTAAACACGATAATACTCAGCTGATCGCACGGCTATCAACCAACCGCCTGAACACGATGGTGCTCACCAGGTCGTGAGTATATCCCTCAACTGCCTAATATTAATAATGATGGACGTGAACTCAAATGTTCCCCTTCAAAAGTGCCGCCAAAGTATCTGCCTCGGCCACAGATACGCTCAGACATGTGAGCCATACGCAAGGTTTCCGAGTATTGTGTGGATTATGCTTCTTTGTTTGTTTGGCACTATCAACGGGTCCGCCTCACCAGTTGTGAAGTTGGCGGCTGAAACGTTGCCACCAATTACACACAGTCTTACTTCTCTTGTAACTGAAGGTGGGGATATTCTCATTGTGAGAAATAAGTTAATTGACCCTTGAACTACCTCAATTCCAATGCTTTTAAGCTTGCTAAGTCTTAGTGTCGCAAGTTAAATGCGTCAGATCCGACCATGGAGTTCCTAGGAAGTTTGGGGCTTGAAATTCGGGTTGAAAATTCAACGTAGAGAATGTCATGAGGCGATTTTTCCAACTTTGGAATTGGAATATTTGGGCGATGCAGCATCTCAGATAGCACACTTCTTGACCGCAGCAGTAGATAATTAGATAGATATCTACCTACCCTGGCCATCACACATTCAAGAGTCTCATCTAATAATTGCCTATTCAATTTTGAAATTGGATATATGCTGTGGCGATGATCGCTTTTGGCTCTCCATCCGTCGCCCAAATAACAATCCTTCTCTGCTGTCGAATGGCGGCATCACACGATCCTCAGTGACAACATAGATATCCACTATACTGGCGAGCCCGACTACAATAGTTCGACGAAGAAGGCTATTGATTACATTCTATCTTATTTCTTTCTCAATTAGATGCTTTTGGCGTTACTTAATGCTCTCTGCCTCGTTGAAAAATGTGAGTTGGAAATGTGTAGGGTAGGTAGGCCAGCTCCCCTGATGCGCCAAGAGCTCTCAGGCCGTTGACATGACGCAGCGCTAAGACACTATGACCATCTCCGCTATTTTATGAGGACAGTTGTTAGTGTACTAATCCTTCTGAACTGTTTTGATGAGGAATACGCTCGATGAAGCAAATAAATAAACATCCTTCGCGTTTTCAGGATGGATGTCTTCCCTGGTAATACACCTTCTCAATATCTTCAGATAAAATATGGATTTGCAAAACAGAGCAGGAAATAACGATCAATTTCGCTGGCGTCAAGTCGCAGATGGCACTTGGCAACGCGATATCGACGAGGCAGAACGCTTCTACGCAACTTTTTGCAGGAAGCCGGATGACCCAGATGCCGCGTCTTTCCCTGTCACTTGTCATGCTTCATTTTCTGTCCCCATTTCTGAAGCCGGCGCATCATATGAAGCAGCAACCGAGAAAATCACGGACGCGCTTCGTACTGCTTGGCTTGCGCTCTGTCACGAGTCCCCAACACTCGCCTCATGGATTCAATATGAGCCATCAGCAGGCGCTTGGAAAAGGATGTACGCGTCGTTAAATGGCTCTGAAGATTCTCCAACCGTATCCGCCTGGCTGTCCCAGACTTTCATGCAAGTCAGTCAAGATACAAACGATGAATGGTTCAACCTGAGCCCGCCAGTCTTCAAGTTTGCTACCTTTTTCGTGGTAGCCTCCCCTTCGGACCGGGATGATCTGGTCCATAGAAAAGTATACTTGCGTTGCCCCCACGACCTGGTTGATGGAATCGGTATACTGCATTTAATTCATCGCTTCTTTGAATTGGCCAACGAGAGTTACCAAGGAGATGCTCTGAACACGACATGGGATGGGCATGAAGCCGCATATCTTTCGCCACCTCTGAACACTGCGATTGGAATTCAAGGCCAACCTACTGATGCGCATCGTCAGGCCTTTAATGATCTTATGGCAAAAAATGCTGCACTCCAGACAGAAAAGCCGTTGCTCGGCCTGACGCTTAGCGATAATTCTGGGGGGCCAGACTGCATCCAACGCATTTCCTTCTCACTCTCAAAGAGCTTGACTGCCGAACTGGTCAAAAAGTCCAAGCTTCATGGCATCACAATAACCCATCTAGTCAGCGCAGCACTTACTCTGGCGCTGCAGGAATCCCAGTCTTTCCCACCAGGAACTCTGGGAGTGAGGTACTGCAATCAGTCCATTGTAAATCTCCGCGGCCACTGTCTCCCATCTCACGATCCATTAGCCGTCGGAAACTACCACATGATTGCGGCTCAATCCATGGCGATTGATCTGCCACTCGCTTCGTGCCACAACACTACCAAAGAGAGCGAAGAAGAATTGATTTCAGTCGCAAAGCAATTCCGAGATTATTACGCCGCTATTCGCCCAGCATCTAAGCCTATAGACCAAGATCTTCTTTCGTTCATTCCTCTGACCTGGGACTTATTCACGCCAAAGCCGACGACACAGCCTCCACCAAAACAGCAGGTCGCCTCCGTGGCTATCTCGTCACTTGGAAACATTTCCAGCATCGTGAAGCCTGAATACGGCGCATTTTCGCTGACAACCGCCTGGGTCGCTGGCGAAACACTGGGAACGGGCGTCAGCACCTTCATTCAGACCTTTGCAGGCGAGTTGGGGTTCTCGACTATTTTCAACTTGGCATTTCACCAGCAAGAGCACATTGAAGAGCTTCAGGAGCTGGTCTTGAAGAAGTTGACTGAACTATCTCAGCGACTCTAAAGGTGAAGTTGAAGTGTACAATCATGTCCATTGAACCATCTCCCTGCTGTATATGATGTCAGAAACGTCAGAAACGTCAGAAATGGGAACACGTAGATGGGAGAGGGTCCCTCATAGGGGTCGTTCAGATACACTGCTAGATCCATGCGGAGACGGGGGGAAGTTGGCCTTAAATAAATAGTCAGATATATCCTTTTTATGTGGCCAACTTAGTTGTCATCAGTTTTCTTCATTCTACTAGATTAAGTTATCTACGCAGACCCTATACGTAGACTCGACGCATCAACATATTCATTTCCTCACAAGCCTATGAATTTTTACGCTTGCGCTGTTTGTTGCCCTTTAGGTAGCTTGGTGAGGTCGCTATCAGGGCAGCCATCAATTCACTTTGACTTGTCCAATCAAGGTCACTCTGTTATTTAGGCTTTATTATCAGGCGAGGTGCTAGAGAAGTGGCGTTGGATATCCCGTCAGTTCAGTGGGATCCCAATTGTAGTAGTTTTCATAAGAAGGGAAGGGACCATTGCTTTCAACTTGAGGATGGCGCATTTACAGAATAGCGACACGATAACATGATGGCTGTCTCAATGTCTCGAACTATTCTTCGCCAGTACTGGCTTCTCAACGACTAGGCCGATTAATCGCGTTGGTTCCTTGGCGCTCCAAGAAAAGACTATTGCCTCCACGAAAGAGCTGACGACGGCGTACGCGGCAACCTGTAACTTAGTAACTCTTCTTACCTATGATTCTATACATAGCCAGCCACCCGCGCGTAAAAGACCCCATTCAGCAATCACCGTTTCTGTTAAAACTCAGGGAACGCTAAATTTGTAGCATTGAAGAAGCAAGTGGGTTTATTTAAAGCATTAGCATCCTCACTTCTGGGTCAGATTCACGTTTTTCTTCTGTCAAAGAGCTAATTTATTCGACTTTGTGGCAAGAGAGGTGCTATTTAAAGGTCTTCGGTTCGCCACAGGTTTATTTTGGACCTCGCCTCTCGGTGGGGCTGACGGTCTTACCCCTTTGAGTAAGAGGAAAGACATTGTTGAGCTATGTAAGATTCACTTGGAAGAGATGATATTGTCCTAGGCATGAGTTTAATAAATATGCTAGAAGTTTCAATTTATCTCGTGCCAGATCGAGTTGGTACGTCAGTCAAACGCTCATTAAGCACGCATTTCTCGACATGTGTAAACGTCCATTTTGGAAAACGCCCTTGCTTTGGGTTCTTCCTCGGTGCAGAATCTGTAGATTTTCTCTTGAAGAGGGTGAAGATTTCGTTATAGGTGCGAGGGAAAAGCGAAAGCCTTCCTAAAGTAGCCATGAGTAGCTAATTGAGTTGTGGCTGCAGTGACCGTGGACGGTTATCGGACCCAATCTTTCACGTACTCAGCAAACCAAAGTTTCCAAGACGAAGATCTCAGACGACGCATTTATTGCAGCAAATATGTTAGCAGTTGGTTGCTTGATGAAGTAGCCATTGCTTGTCATCGCGACTGTCTCAAATTCGCCTGTAAGCTTGTGCCGTGGGCCGAGTTTCGACCAGCGTCGGATCGGGAGGCATCATCCATAGCGAAGGCTAGGCTCAACTACTCCGGCACCAATTTCAAGCAGTCGCGGTTTAAAAACAATTTGATTGCCATCTACGGAAGGTACAGGGAATCAATTCCTGCTGACGCCCACAGTCCCTCAGAGCAAGAAATGGTCGGCGACCACAGCACATCCTCAACTTCTTCGTCTAGCATTAACCAGGGCGGTGCAATTGGAACACCTATTTCTCGGCTGTTCGCAAACAGCATCTACTGGTACGATCCCACTCCTTCCGAGGAGCAGCACAGGCTTCAGGTCTTACGGGAAGAACTGGGGTGGATACTCAGCGAGACCTTGAGTCCAAGTGGGAAACTACCTTGTGAGATTTCCACTCTGATTGCTGACCACCTTATCCAATATTACACTACCACGGCATCTCTGGTACTTCCTTACGAAGGCGAGTCTACTGTTGGCATATCGAATGACATTTGGGCAACTTATATACAGATCGACGGCAGATCGTATATATCCGGCTTATCAAACGTGCCGACTCGCGAGAACATGAAACTAATTCTGCAAGCCGGTAGCCGACATGGAGAAGACACCCTTTACATTTTGGGAGATCATATGGGAATCCATGAAATTCATTTCTCTAGTGGCCTATCCGAAGCAATCAAACCAACTGAGTTTTCCTCTTGGTGGCGCGTCCTTCCCCTGGACTCTAAGCAGGACAAGCTCAGCTTTTTCTCAGACGTGAGTCTTCGTCTCTTCTCGGCTGCAATTCTTTTTGTCACTAACAAGACTGGCTCTTCAGGGGACTAAACTTCAATCACTATCAAATTACATTGCAAGACCAAATTCACAAAGCCCGCTTCTCGCCGAGCGTATGCTGTGGGCCGAGCCAATTACTCCAAACGAACTGTCTAGTCTTAAATATGTATGCTTAAGATGGTATGATGTGTGTTCACATGGCCTGGGCACCTCCAGGATGGTTCCCGCCACGATCAACGCCCCTGGCTGTGCCGGTTATTCTGTGTACTTCCGGCCACGGCCAGACAATGATGCCATCCTGGGACTCTCAGGTTTTCATGCACACAGGGCTGGCCAAGCGCTTGATTTCCATCGAACAGCAGTATATTGCCCATCTAATGCAGTGTGCACTTTCGTGCCGATGAAAGACGGAGAGCGTGTGCATCAAGTCTGGTATGGGTGCTCCTTACAGCCTGTGAATGCCAGCCATCTTGCTGTAAGTTCATCTAAACATAGCCCCATGTACGTTATAGCTTACTTACAATGTGATGTGGCAGTTGGTGACATCCTCTGGGCGATGCTTGATTATCATCGGATCGAGCCATGGTGGCTGCCCAGTGAGAAGACGGAATATACACGAGAAAGAGAAATATGTCTGGAAGCTAGCAGCTACCGCTTCCTCGAATGTGGAAGATCGGTTGTGGCTTGTGTACGACAGCTCGAAAAACGACGTGCTCGCAGGGTTGGCCGGTCCCAGAGCCGGGGAGGATGTTCCGCTGCCATCACCGCTGGACATAACAACTGCAGATTTTACAGGCGACGAACAGTCTCAGCTTTGCTCCGAGTCTCCGTCTGTTTTCGTCTGGGAACAGTCAATTTGTTAGGTAGTTGCACCATATTCTCCTTTCAAGTCTCGATATATGGGATTTAATAGCCTCAGGCAGTTGAGACTGTGTGAGAGAAGACGAGTACCAGTAAAATATTTTTCAATTTTGTATTAAAATCAATATTTATTAGAGGTGGCTTGTCTTGGCCATATTTTGACGTCTTAGTGTTTCTGTGGGTAGATTATCTGGGGCGCTGCATGAATTTGGCGATTATTCAACACGGCGGACACGAATTGTGCCGACGGACCAATCGAAAGACTGACAAATCAGCCAGAAAGCAACACAATCTGTGCCACAAAATGTATAAAACAAGGCGGGATCTTTTGTTTCATTTTTCCGGATCTTTCCTTTTACATATTTGCAAGATCGCTATTCACAAAAATCCCTCCAGGCCCCATTTTCACACACGCTCGTCATGCCACAGAGAGCAGAAATCCGCCAACAGCCTCCCACGGCATTCATCACTGGTGCCAATGGCTATATTGGGGCAGCTGTATGCAAAGCTTTCGTCAGGGCTGGCTATCGCGTCTTCGGACTCGTTCGTAGGCCAGAGTCGGCTGCTGATCTCATTCGCAACGAAATCATCCCCGTCATCGGCTCGTTGGACGACTTGAGTTTCCTGGAACAGCTGTACACCCAGGCCCCTACATTCGACGTTATTATAAATAACATTGAGGGATTCGGGGACTACGAGGTTCTTTTTACGAAGATCAGTGCCCTTGTCAAAGAACTCGCCACCAAAAGCAATGCCAGCGGTGTCAAACCACTGCTTCTCTGGAGCTCGGGTTGCAAAGACTACCCTCTATCATCCTTCCACGGGGATGCAGACCTCGCCCCGCTCACGGAAGAATCTCCCATCCTTTCTGCTCTTCCCCCGGCACGCGTGAGGGCGGAGACATCTCTGCGGGTTTTCGAGCTGCATGACCTGGTCGATGCCATCATTCTTCGCCCGACCTCGGTGTACGGATACTCCAGCAGCTACTATGGGTTCGTCCTAGACCATGTGAAGAACGAGAAAGCAAGAGGCGCGAATGTCTTGCGCATTCCCGGCAACCCCAATAGCATCATGCACTCCGCCCATGTGGACGACTGCGCCGAAGCATACGTCTCACTTGCACAGCATCCTCGGCGCGAAGAAGTCGCCGGGCAATCATTCAACATCTCCGGGTACCGATATGAGACTGCAGGCGAGGTGGCTTCGGCACTCGCCCGAGAATATGGGCTCAGCGGCGGGGTTGAGTTCGTCCCGGTCGAAGATGCACAAGGCAAAGACGCCAAGCTTGAAAACCAAGGGGCTCTTTCCCTCGTATTCAACTTCTCACAGTGGGTGGGCTCTGACAAAATCAGAAAGGTGACAGGTTGGACGGATAAGCGAGGTTTATTTTGTGAGAACCTCCATGTCTACAGGCTGGCGTATGAGGCTGAGCAGCAAGGAGGTCATGAGAACATCAATTTGGTCAACAATAGGATTCATCTAATTAACCAGAGCTAGACGAACCAAATCGACTGCTGGGAGATGTCAAATACATGGTTTATCTTTTATTACCCCGTCCCATAAGACAATAGTGTAGGTCAAGCATGTATCATCCATCCCAAGCTCACCACCATCCGAGAGCAAGAATTAAGTATCTATTCATTCAAATGAGGTAACTGCTTTCGCCTCAAGTAAGAGTGAGTGTGAATCAAGCAAATTACATCTTGGGGCAGACATAACATTACAGGGGCGAGGAAGAATCTGACTGAAAAGGGGATTGAGCCTCAAATCACTCCTAACCCCCCTGGCCCTTACGTGTGGAGAAGGGTGGCTGCTAAGAGAATATCGAAACAATAGCTCCTATCTCGCTATTTACATAGGGTCTCCATCATTAGAGATTGGGCAGGCAGAATGTCAGACATAACTATGAGGATGTTGGCGGTTCCTTATGACGATTTCAGGGTTCTCTTAAATGTTAAAACTCGTAGCATTGCTGCCACTCTATTCCAACTATAGCGTTATCCGTCTATACAGCTTCCAGCATGCTCATTAGCTCTTTATTATAATATCCATCCTCTTTCTTGGTGTTCCAAAATACTAAAATTACATTATGGCTTACTCCCCTCGTTGCTGCTTCGATGCTCAACCTCGACAGTAACCACGGTGGTGCGGGCAATTCCGTTAGATCCTGGAGGAGTGGCAACAATGGCCCTCTCGGAGTCGCTGTCTGCCCAGCCGTCAATCTGATCTGGGCCCCTTCCCTTTCCCTTGTTCTTCGAACTCACAGGACCCATGACAAAGGTTTCAGTAGTGACATGGCCCTCTTCGGGGTCAAATTGGGAGTATTGATGTCGGTCGCGGCGAGACTGGGAATTAGGAACAAGCGTACGGCTCGGCGGGTGCGAGTTTTCGTTGGTCTTGGTTTTGCTGCCGTATCGAGACTCGCCAAGGAGTTTGGGGGCGACGTGGCGAATGAACTTTCGGAATGTTGGGAGAGAGGCACACATGATGATAAGGTAACCTTCGACTTGGCTGCAAATCCCTCATAGTTAGCAAGAAGTTAGGTGCCAGCAAAGTCGGCCTCGATAAAGGGTCAAGTAGCAAGGGGTCGAAAGCACCTACGTCCACACGCTGACAACTCCAACCATCCAAGGGCCATCTGGATTACCAAGCATCTGTGGCAACAAGGCAACGCGAACAACCGATGTTATGACAGTCAACGACCCAATACCGAAGATGATAACAAGACCAATTTTCTGTCGTCGCGGTATATGAAGCCCCACAACCATCGGTAAAGGCAAGATAAAGAGGATGACATCGCTGACGATGTTCGCAACGGCTGTGGCAATATAGAGGCTTGGTAGATTCAAGCAATGACCATGAGTGATCGTAGCGTCCCAGCTTTTTTGAATCGGTTGGCAGGCGAAAATAAGCGGCAGGTTGATTCCGATGGTATATCCGATAATGATGGCAATCGTAGCCCAGGTGGCCATTTTAAACCACTTCTGCGGGGAGAGTTGGAGATAGAAGACCAGAAGAGATAACTTCGCAAACGAGCCGCAGATGGGGTAGAGGAAGGCGGCGATATACGTATCCTAAACATGGTCAATCAGCGTAGGAACCCCAGGTTAACTTCGTGAGGCGACAGAGAATACATACTAATAGGAATCTGTTGTAATCTGTGATTGATATTTCCCAGGCGTGGACGCCTCCGATTCCGTTTGCAAACATATCTGTAGAGTCAAGTCAGCACCTCGGTGCACAAAATTGATCCGCAGCAGACTTACGCAGCGTAAACCCAGACGTGGCGAAGACCATCAGCTATTTACGGGCGAGAAGTCAGCATTGATCATTATGATTGGGTTTAATCTCCAGCCTACCACCGATAATATGAGCAAAACTAATAGCCAAGTCAGCCTCGAGCTCCAGAACCAAGAAAAAGCAGAAGTGAGAAACATACTGTCATCCAGCTGGACCCCACCAGCCAGGAACAGCTTCACATACATCCGCTGGCCGAAAAAGAGAAGCGAGAGGGCGCCTCCAAAGCCTGCGATGAAGTAGACGTCGGGCACGCCAGTCCTCTGGGGGTTATCAAAGTCGACCACGTAGCCATCCGGCGCTGGCAACACCACCGGCACGCCATTTATCGTTGTCATTTTCGGACATGGACCAAGGCTTGTTACAGGCTGTCAATATCGAGGGGTAGAAAGCTTAAAGAAACATGCAAGGAAAAAGAAAGGACGAATCGAGGGATTTCCGGGGCAGAAAAAGAAAGGCAGGCCGTCGATCTTTTTGAAATACCAGTAAACTGTGCCCCTCCTTGCCGCTACCAATGCATCCTGCATGCAAGTCTTCATGAAGATCGATCATAATCCCACCCAGCTGATCAACGCCAAGCATACTATCAGCACTAATCCATGAACAGACGGCAAATTTGAAGAGCTTGGGTCTTGTCAACAGTCTTGTTTCCCACAGTTATCTGATCCATCAAAGCTGAGGCATGGTCAGGGTACCTTCAACAAGATGATCATACATAACATAGCCCGCGGACATGGTTCCGGTACGCTTTCAGCTGGCAACTGGCATCGCACTCCTGTCCGTAAGAGGGATGGCATGGCATGAAGTCCCACGTGGCTAAATCCATCAGATGGATCTGAGCACATCATCCTTCACCAATACCCACCACCAAGTCGAGCCCCTACACGCTGAACAGGGTTTCACAGGGTTTCAGTCTGTGCACTAAGCCTAGGCAAGGAAGTTCATGTTCGGGGAGGGTTGGATCTAGCACTTACTGGTCGTCTCGTTCTTGATTGTGGCGTTGAAATGAAATTATCCATTGCCTCTCAGCCCTCCTCCACCCTCCCCAGGTTTAGCGTCTTACCTAGATTATGCACTAGCATGCTGAATTACTCAGGAAAGTTCTCGCTAGAGGTCTTCATGACACACATCGCAATGGTCTAAGATGAAGATGCAAGCAACTAATCTGAGAAGAATAGACGATTGCGTGTTGGAAAGACAAAATATCCTCTTCCATTCGCCTACCTCGTAGATTAAGGCATAGTAAGTTGGCTCTTATGCTCAGTGATCACGAAAAAAAGATTAAATCAGTTTGAAAATTGCCCCCCGGTTCCCATTCTTCGGCTCTCTGCTGGGAATCACAAGTCCAAAGCCAAACAATGTCCGTCTGAGGGAATCTAGCGATTTGGTTACGTGACGAGCTTCCACCCCTGATGCCAGACCTCGGTTAACTTGCAGGCTTGGCTCATGCCATCTAACCGCAATGAGAATGGTGGACACGAATTGACCGTTATGGTGTCTTTTTAGACACCAACCAAGGAAGATCAGGCGATTTACGCTCGATATAGTAATTAGTAACATAGCCCCTTGTTTCGGAAATATTTTCCACCCAGGCCATATCCCAACTGTCGGTAATCTAGCTGAATAGTACCCAAAGGCTTGGAGCACATTGACAACTGCTCGATAGATCGGAGATTCTTCTTGGATCCCGGCTAGGACCAAATTGTTTCATCTCATCCAGGTCTGACAATGAACTCGGGCCATGTAACCCCAAAATCGAGTCTAATTTTAAGTGTGTTCCCCAAGCCAATCTGACTACTATCCCCGAGCATGACTGAAAACGAGGGGATTGAACGGAAATCAGTGGCGGACGTCCGTCTCCGACTCAGTGAGTATAGATTATGAGCACCAATGGTCACGCCGAGCTCCCTGTAGGCAGTAAGTGCAACGTAGGTAGTGTCTAAGCCAATTCATTGTGTTGAGATGTCGGGTCTGGCATCTTCCATTGCTGTTTTTACTTTGTAATGGAACTCTCATCAGCAGTGTCTAGGCCCTCAAAATGTATCAACTCATTGATATACAAGTCTTCTCTATTTGTGACCAAGAAACGAGGCGTGGTTCGCTGAGACGTTTGAGCGGCAGGCCGGAAATTTTTGAAGTGTGCTAGCTTTGTTGGTACTTCAAGTGATGATCGTGCCAGATCTCAAAAAAGTATACTACAGTCAATAAATCTTTGGATTACAGGCGGGTTGCCTTTATTCATACCAGAAATGTCCCATCGGTTGGTGAAAAGTAGATTTAGGTCGGGAGGTGATCGCCGAGTTGGTTAGCTTAGTAGCCGAATTCCCAACAATCGGCATTGTAGTATTCACTAAGATCGCACATGATCTCTGCTTTTATATCAGGTCATTCGATGCCGCAAACTTACTAGCAAGGTATTAGGCTATCTTTAACATTGGGACAATAGCGACGCGACATCCTAACCTCTATTTACACAAATGTGTCATGGCGTCGGTTTTGACACGGAATGCGATTCTGAATGCGTATTATTCTGACGATTTCGATTAGAAACTTTGAGCTAACCGCTGCGTCTATCCTATCTATCCAAGGTTCGATTTGGTTCCAGCCCGGATAATTTACCAAGCGGGAGCACCTATTTTTCTTCAGGCAAGTGGGAGCATATCCTATGGACATGCCTGACAAACCTCACCAGCTGCTTGCACTGCGACTGCGCTATCCACAACTTATCGTGCATCAAAACCGCTATAAGATCTCAGTTTCTCATGTCTGGATGAACGAGAGATCGCAACCGTCTTTTAACCAAGGTTGCGAACTCGACTGTAAGCCAGCGGATGTGAGCCGAGATACACAACGTCGGTCCCGATCCTATGCCGATGCGGCGCAGTTTGTATCATCAATAAGCGAGTTCTAATAACGAATGGCTCCATATTATGAGAGTATCTTATGCTACCTCAGTCTGCCTGCGGGGGAGCCCAACTTGGCAGTTGGGAATCCCGCCACATCCCGACACCAAACTCGGTCCCCATGCTTATATATTGGGTGGGGGTTCATCCTCTCACCGACTGATGGAATCAGAGTGACTCAACTCTTGCCAGCAAAGGTCCGGTGCATGTTACCAATTTCCGCCCGGCATCCTCATGAAGCATGCTGAACGAGCCTAATGGCATCAACATGCTCCTTCCGCTTGTGGAATGTCAACCCGGATGTAGGCTGTATGCTTTCACAATCCAGGGTTATGGAGATGAATTAACTTGCAGTCAAGTACTGACGCCCGGGGAATGCATCTAAACTTACTGCCTATATTCACAGGTGGATACTAAGTTTCAATGTATCGTGTTTTGTCATTAAGCTATGATACTAATCAAAACCCTCGGCTCCCATGGCAGAATCAAGGCTGTAAGCGAGCTCGATCTGTATCTATTTCTCGCAAAAGGAATGGATCCTCGTTCTATTGAAAAAAACTTGCAAACCGAGGTACAGACGCGGTGGGATTTCTTCGTCCGGTTTGATAGGGGGGCTGTCATCTTTTTAGCTTTATCTGACCATCCTAGGAGGTTTCCAACGGCATGGGTCATGCAGGAACGAGATAAGAGAAGTGCCAGCATACGTATGAAGACAATATCTTTTCACCAATGAGACTATCAGAAACCAGCGCCATCTGCTGCAAAAGAGGGCCAATAGGATTTGTCACCAGACAATGGAGTAATACTTCGACGCCCCTACCTCCCAGTTCGTAAGACAAAAAAAGAACCCCAATATCACGGAGCCCAAATTCAGCAAAGGGTTAGGTTTCCGGAGTGGCTCTACGGAGTACGGGAGCTGGATGTGTGGCAACCTTCGAGATAGACGGCTGACCCAGCGGCAACAACTTCGATTGGCCAAAATCCGGGGTTTTTCCCTATCAGGTGTGTTGGTTCATGCAGTACTGTGGCAGAGTGCAGCGTTGCAACGGTGACATCAACCCTCCCTCGCTAAATTATATCAATATTACAGGAAGTGGGAAATTAGCATTTCAAGATCTCAACCTCCGATAACAACGTCAGTGGTGTTTTTTTGCCTTTGATAGTTAAGAGAATGATTTTTTTTTTATTTGTATATCTGTATTTAAGTTATTGCGGTTTTAAAGCAGGTAAAAAGATAAGAATGCATTGCGGAGTGGTGGCCTGCTGCCCGAGATCTAAGCGTTCGATTGGGTCAATTACGAGATTAGATCATTCGGCCCAGAGGTTACCTCAGACTCGTTTCAGCTACTCCCCCGAATGTAGGAGGAGATCTAGACTGGAGCACCTTCTTGAGCGATATTACCACATTGTGGGACGGACAAAATAAGCCAGCCCCTAGAGTCCATCGTATGCAGGCATTGCCCAAACAGGAACATGCATGACCCTATTTTCGTTCGCGTTCAACTCGGCGGCCGAGGAGGTGCAGGCTTCATACAGAAGACTCGTTCGTGAATCCTCCGCAGGCCTTGGGAGGAAGTTGAACATGATACGATATCACATCATGCGTATTTGCCTCTAGGTTGAGTTCATTCCTAATTTTAGATAAAGTTCATTTCAATTGTCGGTTAGGGAATCTTCTGAGCTCAAAGACTTGTATATAAACCCCAAGGTCTACCGCTCATGTTCCAATCTTTAGACTCACATCTTCACTTCTTTCTTAACTCACATACTTGCTCTTCTCACATACATACTTGCACTTGTCACATACATACTTACTCTCTTCACATATATACTTACTCTCTTGTGTCCGGTTACACACTTTCACCTTGATTTGATTTTCAACTCAAATTTCTCCTTTCTTTCAAAAACCTACTCGGTTTCCATCCAATATCAAAAATGGTCGCAGTGAAGCAGCTCGGCCTCGCAGCTCTTCTCTGGCTTGGACTCGCCAACCAAGGCCTCGCGCTGGGCATCGACGAGACCACCAACGATCTCATGCTCGTGCAGAGAAGTTCGGGCAATCTGTTCAGCATCGTCCCGATGCTCCCAAAGCGTAGGGCGGAGGAGATTCAGCTTGATGAACGCGATTTTGAGGAGCTTGACGAGCGTGACCTCGATCTTGAAGAGCGAGGGTTCCGCAAGGGCTTCAACCCGGGTGTTGCAAAGTGGAAAAAGCCTCGTGATGTTGAGGAGCGGGGGTTCCGTAAGGGTTTCAACCCGGGTGTTGCCAAATGGAAGAAGCCTCGTGATGTTGAGGAGCGAGGGTTCCGCAACGGCTTTAACCCGGGTGTTGCAAAGTGGAAAAAGCCTCGCGATCTTGACGAGCGAGGGTTCCGTAAGGGTTTTAACCCTGGTGTTGCCAAATGGAAAAAGTCTCGTGATGTTGAGGAATCATCCTAGACGAGTGGCATCTACGTTGAAGGGCCTGGTCTCACGACAAGTTCGGCTCCTTCTTCTCCCCCCGCAGTAGCAGGGATGGATAGCGTACTAGCTGCAAGCCGTGGTACAAGGACTGCTGGAATTCCTAGAGTACATTAGGAGGCTACCTATTTTCAGTCATCGCGCCCAGCAGGCCTTTTTCTTACTTATAGGACAATAGAATACGATTAAAATTTCCACAGCATAAGTTTACCTTGAAGCGATACTGAGATTAAAGATGTGGATTTCCATCTGAGGAGGGCCAGGCTTATTAAGCAAGTGGTGACGAAAATGATGGTCACGTGCTGTCTCAGATATCGGCCCCACTGGGGGTCACATGTTCCAACGCCTTTTGTGGATGTTTGGGCTTGTTCGTGCTAGTTGCTCTTTCGTGCAGCGTTGAGCCGTGGGCTAGTCGGAGAGTTTGATGGTCAGAGCTGGCCTAGGGGATGGGCGATTCGTCAAGATCTAGGCAGAGGCTCCTCTGATCTTCAACGACGCGTCGACTCCGCTCCAAACCAGCCAAGACCCATATCCATGTGTCCAAGCGACTGGCCAGAACGGAGACGGAGGTAAGACGGGTAAATGTCGGTCAGCGCCCATGCATGATGTGCGAAATACGCGCGATAAGAGCCCGGTCAAGTCGCCCTCAGCGAATCAAAACTGAGACAAAGCTCCCGCAATGACGGGCCGACAGTCCTGCTCTCCACCATGTGCGACCCGCCCAGTGAGGGGAGGAGGAGAGGAGGGGAGCAGATGGCTGGTGCTCTGAAAAGTCGGAAACCGCAAGCAGGCCGGGGCTCGCTCGATAAGAATTGAAGCCTGAGAGACTTCCTTCCATCTCAAGCCAGAGCAGCGGAAGCACGAGGACGGCGGATTGCCCTGATTATTATGTCTCCAACAGCCGCCAAAGACCCGAATGCATTCCCCTACTGGCAACTGACCGTCCTAGGTGAGTGAACTGAACTGAGAGCGCTGGATCGCCTCGACGCGGCCGATCGCTAATCAATCACCTTGTTCGCAGCAATATGTCGCTTCTCTGAGCCAATCGCGTTCAATTCCATCCTTGCCTACTCCTACCCGCTCGTCGTGGACCTTCACGATGGGGACGAGACAGACGCTCCCTTCTACGGCGGACTGCTGGTGTCCGCCTACGCTGTCGCCGAAGCGGTGACGGCTGTCTTCTGGGGAACGCTGTCCGATCGTTATGGCCGCAAGCCCATTGTCCTCGCCGGCCTGGGCGGCGTCGCCATCTCGTGCCTCATCCTCGGGTTCGCCAAGAGCTTCTGGGTCGCGTTGCTGGCCCGGCTGATTGGAGGCGCGCTGAACGGCAATGTCAGCGTGATGCAGACCATGGTCGCCGAGATGGTCAAGAAGCCTGAGCACGAACGTGAGTCTCCTTTCCCTCCTCCTCTCCTCTCTTCTCATCTCCTCATCCGCCATCGCGTCGATCGATTGTACTGACCAGCCTCAAGCTGCTGCCTACGCCACGCAGCCATTCGTGTGGACGCTGGGTGGTATTCTAGGCTCAGCCATGGGGGGCTTCCTCGCCCAACCAGCAAAGTTCTACCCACACCTTTTCCCCGAGGACGGCCTGTTTGGGAAATATCCCTACCTTCTCCCCAATCTGGCCTCGGTAATCATCATCCTTCTGGCCATTCTGCAGGGTATCATCTTTCTGGAAGAGACAAACCCCAGCGGCCACTGGTATCCAGAAGAGGACTACAGCGCCATCGAGCAGGATGTCGACAAGACCAGCCCTCTACGCGGGCGCATGGCCAAGACGCCCGCCGTCGCGAGCAGGCCCTCTGTGGACGCCCAGTCCAGGCCGTTGATTGCCGAGGAAGGCCTCCCCTTGCCCATCGACCCCAGCTTCGACATCAGGAGGAGCTCGTTCGGCACGATGCACAATATCGAGATCCCCCCCGAGGCGAGATCATCTGGCCAGTCGACCCCTCGTCCCGGCGCGCCCTACGACGGCCCAGTCTGGAACTACTCCATCATCATGATCATCATCGCCCTCGTGATCGTGGCCTACCACCAAATGGGGTTCGGAGCCCTCCTCCCCGTCCACCTCCTCGCACCCCCAAATGGGCCCGCCGGCCACCTCGACCTGATCGGCGGCTTCGGCCTGACGCTGCACCAGGTCAGCGTCTACCTGGCCGTCAACGGCGTCATCAGCCTCTTCATCCAGGCGCTCATCTTCCCCATCTTCGTGGCCAAGGTGGGCGTCTGGCACTCCTTCGTCATCACCATCGTGCTGTACCCGACCGCCTACCTGCTGCTGCCCTTCCTGTCCGTCTCGCCGCACTTCACCTCGGCGGGCATCTACGTCTCCATGATCCTGCAGGCCTTCTACGGCATCATCGTCACGCCCACCGCGCTGATCCTGCTCAAGGACGCGACGCCCTCGACGCAGCTGCTGGGGCGCGTCAACGGCATGGCCATGAGCGGGTGCTGCGCCGCGCGGACCATCTCGCCGCCGCTCGTCGGCATCATCTACAGCGCGGGCGGGTCTGCCGCCGCGTGGTTCAGCTGTGCTGGCGTCGCGCTCATCGGATCGCTGCAGCTCATCTGGTTCCAGGGGAAGCATGTCCGGCATGTGGTGGTTGAGAGTGCGGTGGTTGGCGCAACCATTGGGAATACGGAGAGCTCTGATTAGGAATGCAGAGTTGAATTAAATTGTCGTTATGAGTTTGTGACAAAGCTCATCAGTCTACGTACACGTATGTGTGATGGTTTGACGCGTTCAGCGAATGTGCGCGACGCGTCAGAATTAAATCGCCTGAAATAGGCTACCCTGGAGAAGAGTTAGCAAAGACCATAGTTTGAAATTAGGTAGTTGATTAATAGATTGTGAACAGCTGTGGTCAGAATATTGACTAAATGCACACTAGCCGATTAAAGCATTTTTTCTCTGAAGAGAGGGCATCATTATTTTCATGGAATTTTTTTTGTATTCTCATCTTGAGTGGCATGCCCAATCCGTAATGTTATCCTTGTATGTAGTGCCAGCCGATTGTCCACCACCACCAGACAAAAAACACTTGCAATATTATTCATGCATCTTCCATGGATGCATAAACATTAATTCACCGAACAGTTTAGCCGGGTGCCTACGATAATCTTGCAGTAAAAAAAAGCAAAGTGTTAAAAAAATGCCAAAAAACAACTTGCCCCCACACAGAATTGAACTATGGATCTTCGCATTACAAGTGCGACGCTTTACCACTAAGCCATAGGGGCTTGGTAAGTTGTTACCAAAATATCGCCTGTTGGGTATTATGATCTACGCCATCAAACAGGACAGGGATCAACACAAACATCAACTTCAATGTGAACAATCAAATCGCGGTTCTGACATAATGCGACATAGCTGTTATTTCTTATTTACCGCCTGTATTTATTGTACGGAACAGAGACGGCAAGTTGAGAGAGCTGAGAGCTGTATCGATGCGCATCATGCACAACCGATCTACATGCAAAGTGTAGACGGAGCGAGAAATACAGACCACCAAGCCTGCTTTCGGAGCATCGTTTGTGAATTAAATCTAGTGCTACTTAATTTAAATGTAGAACTGGGGAAATATGTAAGGAAACTCAATTCTTGGGTGCAAATGGGGCGCCTGTCATGGCTGCACACTGTCCCTGGCAGGTGATCTGGTGTGTACCGCAACCAACAATTGCCAACAGACGGCCACCCAAACACGCGCTGCCTTTGTTGTTGTTCTGCCCCAAACCACGTCATAGTTTTCTTAGGCCTTTTTCTGTGTTTTTTGGACTCTGCACAAGCACCCTTCATCCACCCGCGTTTACCATCCACCACTCGCTTCAACACTTTCGCTCCTCTTGATTCCCTGAGCTTGTGCAACTCCTTGTTTAAATTTGTGCGGGCTTTGAAATCATGAAAGAAGAAGAGAGTGTTGAAGATTCGAAGCCCACTAAGTGGCCTCTCTTCATTGAAGAGAAGACTCGAAATCTGGCCTTGAAGGAGGAGCCAGATCTCCCGGTGAGCTTCACTTCCCACCCTGACTCCTCGCTGTTTCGTCATGGGCTAACATTGTCTACTTTCCTACGACCAGCTGTCAGAGCAAGTCAAATCCTCAAGAAAGCTGTCCGGACCGACCGACAAATGTACCCATCCTCCAGGCGCTACCCCAGCAACCTCCGTGACGAAGCCCGGAGCGAGCATTCCACGCCCCTCGCCTATCTCGGGTGATAAAACGGCGGAGATCTTCGTCCTCCTGAAGTCCATGCAGAAGACCCAGAGACTCATGGCCCAGAGAATCGAAACCCTCACTCGAGAAGTCTCTACCATGAAGCGACAAGTCGACACCCTCACCGCCAAGGGCACCCAAACCCTCATCGACCTGGACGAGTGGATGACGAACCGGCCCAAGATCGTCTGGCAGCAGACGTCGATGCACGACTTTTTCGAACCGCCCCCCCCTCGGCCGCTTCCCCCCATATTCTCAGCCTTCTCGGCCGCTTCGACACAAGCTTCGGCAGCTCCCCCCAAGCAGAGCCAGAAGTCTGAGCCTTTGATCCTGCCTCAGCGTCCCCTGCCGGCGCAACCCGTGAGGAGGGAAGTTCCTCAACCTGCTCGTCCCATGGCAACGAAGACCATTTCGAAGAGGCGGCCTAGTAAAATTGCAAGACCTGGGCCGCCACAAACCAACACGGAGAATCAAGCCAACGCTGGGAGTGCCCCCCGTGGGTAGGCGGCTGAGGTAGAGGAACCATTGAACGATCTTTGTGTGTATGCGATGCAAGTAATCAGCAGAGGGGGAGAACGAATGATCGACCGAGGTGCGTTGATTTGGAACGAAGGCACCTTGCCACTGTAAGAAATAATTTCATAGCTCTGCTCTAGACATGTTGTGCGAAAATGTTGGATTCATGTAAAAACACCCTGCTCGGTCAATCATCCCCGTCCGCCTCGTATCTCGTTCCTCCCTGCCGCCTCATCTCATCCATCATGTCCAATACTCGGATCGTTTCTGACCACGGCATCACCCAGCTCTCTTTGCGCCCGGCCAGCACGTCGAGCGCTGCACTGTCCGCCTCGAACTGGTAGCCGCGCCCAGGGACGGGATATTTGTATGTTGTGCCTTGGCCTCGTACCGCGTCTTCTCCTGATTCTCCCGTGAATTTGGGATACACTGTGAAAGCAACGGGGGCGGACGGACACGAGCCGTGTACCTCGACAGAACCGTTGACACCGTGAATCCTCGCAAGCATGTCTGGGTTTCCATTCGTCAGGGTCGTCGAGGTGACGATGCCCTGCCGCCCGGAGGGATAGCGGATGATGGCACTCGTCATCAGCTCAACATCCTCCCAGTGTGTCTGCGACGCCAGAATCATCGGCCGCTCCGTCCTTTCAGGGTTCTCAGGCTCCAGCGCCATGATGATCCAGGTGAGGGAGTAGATGCCCAGGTCAAGCAGGGAGCCAGCCCCCAGCGCCGACTGTCTGTACCGCGACGTCTCTGGAAGGTTCGGCACGTCCTTGTCATTTCCAAAGTCGGAAAAGGCGCGGAAAATCTCGCCAATGACCTTTTCCTTGTGCAGCATCCGTCGGAGATCGTGTACGAGCGGTCGATGCCTCAGCCACATGGCCTCAGCCACGTACACGTTCTTTTGTTTGGCGGCGGCGAAGACTTCCTTGGCGTCGCGGGCGTTGAGGGTGAAGGCTTTTTCGCAGAAGACATTCTTGCCTGCGGCGATGGCGTCCAGACAGTTTTGCTTGTGGAATCCGTGGGGTGTGCCGATGTACACAAGATCGACGTTGGCATCATCGTATACCTCTTGGTAGCTGCCGTAGATGGCCGGGGAGTGGGTTGGGCAGTGTTCTTTTGCGAAGGCTTTTCCTTTGTCGAGACTCGAGCTACCTGTGATGATGTGGTTGACCTTGGCGTCTGGGCGTGACATGACAATGTCTTGGACGAACCAAGATGAAATTAAGCCGGTGGCTGCCAACGGTTTAGTATGATGAGTTGGTTGATGGGTGTTGGAGGGACGACATACCCACGATGCCCCAGCGGATACTTGGAAGGTCTTGCATTTTTGGCCTGATTTATCTATCCCAGATCCTAATTCTACAGAAGCAGTTGAGAAACTGAGACAGGATGATTGATTAATTACACATCCCAAGTAGGAGTCTCCTGTCTCTCAAGCATGCTTCTTATAACGGCTCTCAATTCCATTTGAGTATATTGCTGGTGTCGGAATTCATGCACCAGTTTTGATGGATTCGGCATATAATTCCGATATTCTTGCCCTCGTTCAGTCTGGGTTATTCTTACCGACCCTCATAATGTGGGTGCGGGGACAAATGGAGCAGAAGGAGGGAGTCCGATTCTCCGACGTGGAGGCAGATGGGGAAATTGCCTCATCTGGCAAGGGACGGCGATGCCAGTTCAGGTCCAGCACTGACTGTGACATGCCTCTGGGTTGGTTGGGAGGAATTGTCTGGCTGATGGATGGCTCTGTCATCTCCAACGATCTTCCCTTGCGGCAACATATATAGAGGCTACCCCGGATCTTCCTCGACAGGGATGAAATGTGTTCATCTTCTGTTTCTTACTAGAGGCCTGGTCGCATCTTGACCAGGCCAAGACAAGGGACTAGCGGAAATGCCGCCATAGCCCGGCTAGTGTTGGCTCAGCTGTTTGGTGCTAGGCAGACTTCGTAAAATAGGGCGGGCATGTCTTCCGGTGAATTCTAGCATTCAGGCCATTCCGACTGCTTGAAGTGATACTTCGCAGATTGGGGATATGTTTTACATATACTTTCGATACCAGGCATCAACCATCTCCAGCCCGCCTTGAGGCGTGGAGCAATGTACCGTATTTATCTGCCTTGTGGAGGGGCTGTTAGGCAACAGACAGCCATCCCTAATTGGGTTTTCAGCTTACGATGTTGGTTGGTTTAGGCTTTTGATGTTGGCAGAGCACAGCCCAAGGCTTCCTCCAAACCTGCATAAAATTCAAAAGGCTTGCAATCTGGCCAAATCCTCAATTCCTCTCTCTTCACTGTATTTGATTCCCCAGTATCCAAAAACGACACTCCTCTTTGATCCTGTTGATACACCACAGCCCGGTCAGCAGAATGCCGGCGATCCACATTCTCGACCTCCCTGAGGAGATTGTCGACAACATCCTCCAGCAAGCAATCCTGGTTCGTGTTTGGCCGATTCAGACCTCCAGGCAATATGATTCCCCATCCGGAATACCACGCGTGCTGAGGTTGAGACTGGTTTGCAGTACGTGATGCTCATCGGCCATGAACGTGTTCGTATCCTAACAGCGTGGACTCAGAGACCTTTAATGCAATGTTTCGGCCTGCTTTGTTTGCAACGCGCATCTTCGACACGTATCTTCCAATCTCCGCCGACCAGGCCACTCAAACCCTGAGATATTGGCCCATCCGCAGCAACCACGGAGCCCAACAGCTGTGGCACGCTTACCTCGTCTACCGCGTACAGAATGAACCGGACCCCTTGGCGCATCGATATTTTGAGGTTCGAACGGCAGCAGAGAGGCTCTTCAACACCAAACTTACTGGCTTGTCACTGCAGAGCATTATTGATTCTCTTTGCTGGTTAGCGCTCACCAGCGTGGCCGGCAGGGTAGCCCCGAAATCCTACCCAGATCACTTCGTCATCAAGGACGGTCCGGATGTGAACTTGCTCAGCGCCGCTGCATATCTAAACTGCCAAGATGTGGTCAAGAGCCTGCTCGCGGAAGGCATTGATCCCACGCAACACGATGATCTCTTCCCTGCGGCCATTGAAGCAGCTGCCCTCGCAGGCCACGCCGACCTGCTTCAGATCCTGCAAGAAAGCCTGCCGGATATCGTCCATCCTCCAGCAGACCGTGCGGCTAACCCTCGAGGATTCATCGGTCACCCTACGTTGCCTACAGTCCTCTGCAAAGGGAAAGCAGATCCTCAAGCTGTTGTCGGTGCTGCCATGAACGGCGACACCGACCTCTTGAAAATGGCACTGTACCCCCCTTCCCGGAGCGATTTACAGAGCACCGACTATTTTGAGCAGCCTCATGGAAAGGTAGTAGAAAGATCTCTGCCAGGGCTAACTCTAAGGGCTGCCATGCTGCATTCAAAATCACTCGGTGTCTATCGCATCTTGTCCGACTTCTTTGCTCAGAACAAAGAACCATTCCCGGCCTGCCACCGCTTGGATCGTTTTTGCGAGTTTGGCAACCTGGAAATCGTCAAGCATTTACTTGACACCGGGGTGAGCATCAATTCGTGGAGAAGGCCCAGATACCCTTCGCCGCTTCACGAAGCTTGCCGCCACGGGCACGAGGCCATTGTTGATCTTTTGATCGAGCGTGGCGCCCACATCAACCAGCGCTGCGGCAGATTCAGAACGCCCTTGTACGCGGCGGTTTCGGGGGGTTTCATAACCATCGCCCAGAAGCTGATCGATAAGGGTGCGAAGTGTGACTTGGATGTGCTGAAGAAATCCTTGTCCAGTGAGTACCCTGCCATGACGAGGTTGTTGCTTCCGCACCTCTCTACGCAGGTAGTTTATTCGAGCTTGAATTACCTTGTCGATGATAAGAGACTGGACAAGATGCCTTTGTTGTCACTGATTGGGGAGCACCCGGGGCTGAGTTTCAAGAATGGAAAGGTCCGGCCGCCGGTGCCTCCGAAGGCTGAAAGCCTTTCGCATCGCAAATTGAGAGAAGAGGGTGCAGGACATGGAAGTTTTGGACCGTGGAAATTATCTAGGGTGGAAAGTTGGCTCCTATCCTAACTTGGTGGCTTCTTGATTTATCATGTGTAGGCAAAGCAGCGAATCAAGTTAACATCTTATTGTCATGCACACTTTACTATTTCAAGTATGCAATATTGCCGTTTTATTTTCGAGATCTTTGAAACGATGCCTCCTGCGGAGAGTGTTGTCAGCTTCAAAATGAATCACTGTAACTGGTGTTGGAATGAATCACTGCAAGATGTTAGAATGAATCACTGTAACTGATGTTTAAATAAATGACTTTTACTGATGTTAGAATGAATCACTGTAGCTCATGGTAGAATGAATCACTGTAACTGATAGTAGAAGAAGGGCACGGCCACAAATAGGAACAGAACAAGGCCTGTTGGGGTTTTCGTTTTGTTGGAGATGTCTTCAATTGGCGAAGCAAGTTGGCATAACCTTCTTCACTAGATGGATAAACTAATCTACGAATGAGCTCGAATTGAGTGAGTAAGGGAACTCCCTGATTGAAATGATTGAGGGGGTTATGAAGTTCACGTACTGTGCATTTGCTTGCTGTCACTCCAAGCGATTTTGTTTTATTCCCTCTTTAAACTCCATGAACCATGTACATGTTTCATCCAGTTTTTAAAATTTCATTTCAATCGTTAGAAATAAACGCCCTTGGTAATATAAAGAGATTCAAGATGTGTTTATTAACAGGGCACGCTTTGAGCACTTCTTTGCATTCTTCAGCGATGTCTGCCAACAAAGGAGCTTGGTACATGGTTTTTTTCGCTTGAACATGTCGTTGGGCTCCTCCGACTTATATAAATAACGACCCTCGCTCACTGATTGAATCGTCGAAAAGTATCACTCTCCACAGATCTCGACACCCAGTCCAGCTTAGAAAGCCTAGAGAATTCTATCCAGAAGTGAAACTCTCACCAGAACTTGCCGGAACCGACAATCTAGCTCTTCATCAGATTTCCAAATTTCTCCGAGCACCGAGCACAATGTCTGCGCCGAACATTCCCGGCCCTCCTGGCCCTATGCTTCTCGGCGACCATGCTGAGGTTGCGCGGTATGGCAAAACAGCTCCTCCGGGCACGCAGAATATCCCGTTCAACAATGGCCGTGCCACCGACCCGCCCCTGGTCCAAGTTGACGCCATTACGAGAATCCTCGTTTACCCGGGAAGCTTCAACCCGCCACATAGAGGGCACTTGCATCTCTTGGATCACGTCTTCCAAAACGCCGGTTATAAAGCCGAATATCATGCAGCCATTATCCTGCTCATGGACGACGAACATTTGACGAGGAAATTGGAAAGCTTGCCCGAAAACGGTTTGCTCGTCCCCCTGGAGCGACGCACAGCCCTTTGGCAACAGGCTGTGAGCCACAATGACAAGTACTGGGTCTGGGATAATGGAGCAATGGACAACTTCACTGCTTTCATCGATGCCTTGCAGTTGAGGCTTGCCACACACACCACGATTGAGCTCGTTGGCCTCTTGGGCCCGGACAGCTTTTCACTCACAGAACCAGTCCCCAGCCCCACGACCTGGTACTGCCGGCATCTGGTTACCAGCAATGGATGGCGCGGAGCTGCTTTTGCTGGTGATGTTATGCAACGGCTGCCAGGATGTTCTACGTGGCGTCATACTCATACTGACAGGGGGGAAATTGGAGCGGAAATTAGCCGCACCATGCAGGGTCGGGATCCTGAATGTACGTTTCTTTCTTTTCCGTCATTTTCTTTTTTCCATTTTGGCTCAACCTTCAAACTCCACTCCCTCTTGTCTTTTCAGCCGCCTCCGCCGTTAAGTAGGTCGTAACTAATACATGATGTAACAGACATTCACCGCGAAGTCGAAAGGGTAGTTTGGAATAGCCAAAAATCAGTTTGGTGCCTCATGGAAGAGGAAATTCCGGGAACCATCCTTCTTTACAATGCATACGATCAAGTACAGGGACAAGAGAATATGAGCAGCACAGACATTCGCCGGGCCATGGCTCCATTGATGGAGAGACCAGGAACTGTTTTGCAGATGGCGAACACCTTACACGCTGCTGGTGCTCTTAGCCCCAACACCCTGGCCGAGTGTATCCGGGATGGGGTTATTCGAGAGATCGCCTCGACTGTGGAACCGGCAAGCAGCAGCGCCTAAGCACGGAAAAGCCTATTTTCTGCATCTGTCGCGGGGATTTTGTTCTTTTGGATCGGTGGTACATGCTAGCCGTAGCCAGCACTGGCAATTTAGATTGCCACAAACAGTAGCTAGATGAATGAGATTCATTATCTAATTGTGTTAGTTGGTTGGTGAATTGGCTTGTTAATTAAGTCAACCTGTGTGACATGCATATAGTTGGCTGAATCTCATGTACTAATTGCAATCAATTCATAATTCAGAGGTCTTTTCATATCCCTCGACCTCGATTATCGTGTTCGGAACGTGTAATGAGGGGGTAGACGTATGGAGACCCAATGGATGCCCAAGTACTGTCTGAGTAACCTCAGAGCCTAACGCTCCCGGATCAGGTCCAACATCCCCATCGCGATGGCCGTTCTGTTGTCGAATGAGATCAAAGTGCCCGTGCTCATATAAATTGTAGCTAGACTCCTAGAGGTAAGCGTAGCCTTTTTACGATAGATACGGGTGGAATTCGTGCGTCTGAACTAATAGTGTCTATTCCCTTAGGCGACCTCCCATATTTACAATATCCAGCAAAGGCAGGGCTTGCCTCTGCGCGTCTATACTATAGAGCATTTATGGCTCATCTAGCTCGATAAGGTTGGTTTACCGCCTGGAGATGTTTTAATTGGATCATAAGAAACCTGTTCACAATAACAACAGTAAATCTTACCAAGCATAATGCACTTTGCCACATACCTGCCCATTGATAGGTAATTGTAGATAAGGCTCGGGGCAATGATGTAATTGTCTCACCTCTTGTCAGCTTCAAGTACGTAACGAAATCTAGCTCCGGTTACCATAGTATGATGAGTAGGTAGTAGCTCTGAGATAGAAGCCATCGGAAAATAAAGAAACATGCGTAGTCTACGGGCTCAAACTATTATTGCTTATTCTTTAATCCTCAACAACATGGCAGTAGGATCTCCTCACGCACACTCTTTGACTAAGGAAGAAGGCATATTTTCTTTGTGCAGCAGCCTCGAGCGGGGTTTGCATGAATCTGTCACACGTGATATGCAGTTGCACTTTTCAAATATCCTGAATTCTCGCGCGGAAATTGAACAGCTCTGACTCCCCTCTCTTCTCTGCATCATCTCTCTTCTCTGCATCCCCTCTCTTCTCTGCATCCCCCTCTGCTATCAATTTTGTGCTTCTTGAAAGAAATTCTCCCCCTTTAATACATAGAATTTCCTGCTCTTGATTCTCGTTAGCCATCATGGCCCAAGCTACTGGAGTTTCATTTATCTCGACTATGCCGCCCGAGCTGAGGCACGAGATCCTGGCACATTGTCCCGACCCCCTCACTATGCAGTCACTTGCCCTGTCTTGCAAGGCCTTTTATTCGACTTACAGCGCCGACCCAGACAGGATCCTAACATCTGTCGTGTTGGGATCTGTTCATCGGTCTGTTCAGCCCGTGGCATCTGCCGCCTTGGCTGCCTCCAAACTCCCGGCTGGGGATGTGGCAGCATTCCAGCGCTTCAAGGATGAACATCTAGAGCCACAGCAAGGCGCGCCTGGATATCCGACGGGCACTTCGCCCATGTCAGACATTCTATTGCTTGCTCGTCTTCATGATCATGTCACATATTTTGCCGATGCAATCTCCCACGAGATGCTTGGTAGACTACCCGTCCGCGAGGCTGGTGGATCAATGGCCAGCGAGCCGAGTGGTTCCCACCCGTCTGCCACTGAGCTGCTTCGTATGCAGCGAGCCATTTACGTCTTCCAAATCTTTTGCCATATATTCGACAGGGAACCCGGTTACCGGCGGTCGAATGGTAGGAATTTCCCGCCCATTGATGTTTGGAGAGCCTGTTACCCCAAGTTTGCTCAATATGAGGTTGAGCAGCAGATCTGTCTCCATGAGTATTTCATGGTTTTAATCGCCAGAGGTACGTCCAAAAAACACGTGCTACTGTTTGCTATCTCTGGCATCTTTCATAGCTAACTTGGACAGGTTTCAACGAGATCGTTCAGCATGATGTCACCTGGGGCTACTTGGGTGTCGATCCGATCACCTCGACGGACTCAACACTTGGACAGGAGATTCTACTCCGTGGCCTGGACACTCTGCGCGCGCTGTCCGAGGCCGGAAACTACCAGGACATCCGCAGCGTTCTACACGGAGGCGAGAGACGCACGGATGGGCCGCTCCCATCAAGTTCTGACTTCGTCAATCGGATGGAGCACATAAACAAACAAGGAACATACCCACAATTCAATCCAGAGGTTACGTTTGCCGTGTCGCTTACATTCTTGAATCATGTTCGAGCACCTCTCTATCAAGATCCAGAGTGTGGCCCAGTCCGGGCGTGGGAGACTGTGTTCTGTGGAGATCTGCATATGCGGGTTCTTAGACATCGCTACATCCGCATTCATCGCCGTCGGGGATATGTCTTCTGGGATCTGGCCCGCCTTGAAAAGCAGGAGTTTTCTGGAGCGAGATGGGAGACGGACCAGGCTCCGGATCCTATTGCAGATTACTGGACAAACCAAATGCTTAATCCCCCTATAGAGACAGTGTTGATGTCGAGAGAGCGACGCAGCGAAATATGGAAAGCAGGGGGCAGGGGTTGGTGGAGCTTTGATGATGAGAGCAAGGTTGTGTATCCGCATGAGCTCACGTTGAATGTCGTCTCTAGATCTTAAGTTCCTGATTTGATGAGGAGTGGAAAAGAAGGCATTCCTATCGAGGTGTGAGATTCACAGGCGAATCTAAGGGACCCTGGCCGGATAGTTGGATGAGAGATTTCCTGTAGGGTTAACATGTTGCTTCCATGGCTGTGCCTTTAATGTCTAAAAAATAAATGAAAAGTGAGAAAAGATACATAAGGTGTGATTGAGCTTTGTGCTCGAATAGTTAAAGACCATTGTTACTTGATTTCCGATAAATGATAGAGAATACTGCTATGTTGGACGTGTTCTCAGCCGCTACTTGTTCCAAATCCTGACCAGCGCACGCGAGCGAGTACTTGACACCTATTCGTGAGTTTCACTCGCGAACTGCGTCTTGTATCCGCCTAATATCGTCATTGCCTCGCCTAATGGTATCATCGACGCGGTCTCTGAAGCCTGGATCGTGCTCGCTCTCCCGGACAGCCCTCTCTGACCTGACGAGGTCCAAGATATCCTCCACCAGTTTGAGATAGTCATTCTGTGCATTTGTCCATTCACTCTGCAAATCATCCGTAATGCCTTCGAATGCTTCCTTGGAAGCTTTCATCACATTCCTGAAAAGAACTTGCTTAGAAAAACCTGTGTTCATAATCCTCTTCCGCCGTTGGTCGCTCCCGGTGCCTATAAGTTGCATGTAAATGTCAGCATTGACCCCTCAAACACGGGACGAAGACAGGAGTAAATAATCTTGTGGGGATATTACCGTATTCTTGATTGCACAGTCGATATGTCGATTCCATCTCCTTTCCAAATGATGAAGTTCGGATCCCAGAGAAGGTATCAGTGTGTAGCAATCTGCAATAATGCCTACTTAGTATATAACCAGGGATGCTTATGATTCGAGATTGGGAACTCACAGAAACTTATCAGCAAGCGTTTCAAAGCAGGCATCCATCGATCTTTGAAGAAGCCGTGTCTGGGCTTCTAGGGCTTCAAGTAGTACGCTTGTGCTCTCATCGTTGGCATCTAATTCAGTTTCTGCGGACGTTGGTTAGTTTTGTCAAATAGGGAAAGACCGATGTACGTGTAAGGAGACATAAGCCAGATTAAAGAACGAGACGAAGTCTCAGTTGAAAGGAAAGAATCATGATGGTTTTACGGTGGGCAGGCAATGGAAGGCGAAGCATACCTAGGCCATCATTAATGGTCTCGGTTGTCGTTTCGATAGCTCGAGTAAGTTCGGACTGGCGCTCATATAGCGTTGAAGTCAGTGACTCCCACGGTGTCCTCAGGTCTTCTACCATTTGGTCCATGGCCTCTGAGTTCCAATCGTGAGTTCCTGCCTTTGGTGTGGAATGATTACCAAAGTTGCTAACAAAGGCACGATATGAGCCTGATGAGAGAATTATCAGTTTTGAGGCCTCAACTTCATTTATAAGGTCGGCTTTGGAGAACCAAGATGAAATACTCACTATGGTGCCACTAATAAAAGGTTAGCTAGCGATACACGGTTGATGTTGACCCGGAGGTTTCTACTTACTCCATTTCTGTCAAGGCTTGTGTCTGCAGCAAACTGGGTCCAGCTCAACAACTGGAGTCCTAGAATTAGTTAGCATGCTCTTATTTCGGGCCATTTAAGAGAAACTTCGCGACTCACTTCCGAATACTAAGGTATTGAAATCCCGCTGCATTATCTGTCCCGGGCGACTATGACTTCGCAAATTCTACGGCCCGCATTAGTAGGCCAAGTTTATTTTGTAGATGGCTTGCAGCTTATCCGTACTCTCCTCAGCTCGCGTTCAATATTGTCCAATGCTGCAATCGTAGCAATACGACGTTCTTGATCTGCCGTCCTAGCCCCCGACTGGACCCAGAGCTGGATCTTGGAAAGCAGTGCTGGGATCATGTCATTGATGAACTGCACGACAACGCGTCGTTGGGCTTGTGCTACAATTGAGATACAATGCTTTCGTAGGTCGATGATGCCGCTCAACTTGAGGTAGGGAAGTGAGCGGTCCTTTGGTTCGTTCCTCTTATCGTTGTAGTGTTTGTTGCTAACACAGAAGACTCGGAGGATCCCATCTACTCGGTTGTTATACTTCTGGTAGAGCTTGTTGGTCACAAACTCATTGCGCGTCGTGACCAGGAACTGGGTGAGTCTATAGGTACTTCGTTAATCTCCTCGATCCTTCGATATGAGAAAATAATGGGGATTTATTTGACTTACTCAAATCTTCCGTCCTCTATCTTTTTTCTGTTTTGGCATTGGTTAGCTTGAAGCCCTGGAATTGAAGGGCTTGTACTTACTCAAGTTGTCGTTTACTCCTCTCCAATAAGCTTCTCTCTTCTCTGTCAACCTCAGAAAGCTCGTCTTCATCCTCAAGCCTATCCAAATCCGCAATCTCTGCCTTCAATTCCCTATGCTCATGTGTATCTGTGTCAATGGCAGCTATGAGAGATTTGATACGCGCTTGCCGTGCGCCATCCCAGTCTCTCAAGGCTTCACTTGGGACGATATCCTAGTCGATATAGATGAGAATTAACAAGAACCTATTGAGAAGATTGATTCAACGATTACCTCAGAACGAGTGCATACAATGCCTACATTCCGTAGTCGCGCCCGCTGGGCGAGGTTGAACACGTGAAGAACTCCCTCGTCGGTCACAGCGCGGCCGATGTTGCAAATCACAAATATTTCATTGCATTCAAGGATATATCGCTCAGTGATGCATCTCCGTGCCGAGTTCAAATCACGCAGCCCTTTAGAGTCACAGTTAGTTTTGAAAATCTAGAATGCAGAGCGCGCGGCTCGTTGTTTCCAACATACCTGGGAGGTCGACAAGAACTAGCCCTTGCCTGAGGGCATGAGCATTTAAGAAGACCCTGTTTGGGAATACAGTTAGCAGAATACTACAATGAATGGAATGGGAGGTAGACAATACGAACTTTATCGTCTTAATGAACGGCCAGATAGCGGGTCCGCTTCGAGATAACCGTTCTGAAGACAGGACAAACAATGAATCCGAGCATTGCTCGAGGCTAAGGTTCTGCTGGGATGTCACTGCCTGCGAGGGCCTCTGCTCCTCAGCCCAGCAGACTAATGTTTGCAGTACCTCACGTTGAGACCCTTGAAGGAGAAAAGAGTCGTTGTTCATCCGGCCTCGGAACATTGCTTTGAAAGTATCTTTGGCAACATTAGCCCTGTCCTTTGCCGCTTTCTTTTCCTCGGCCGTTTCCATTTCGTCGGCGTGGAAGGAATAGTGACGGAAGTCCTCGAGCATTCGCTCTAGCTGCTCATTAAGCTCTTGGGTGGTGAATAACTCCACCTTGACATCCATGTGGTCATGTTGGTGATAATGATATTCGGTCACAACACATGTGCAAGCCTCCCCGCTATTGCTCTTCTCGCTGTTAGAAAATACACAAGGAAGGGATCATGTGACGCAAGTAAATTTAATAAAAGATAACAGCACCAAGAGAGATGGTTTGGGTTGAACTTACAGCTCTAGCGAGGTCTTTATAATCAAGAAGGGAGTTTAACAAGCTGCTTTTCCCTAAAACACAGTCGAGTCAACATCTGTATATCTTTGAAAACGTGCGCACTGAACATACCGACGCCGGAATCACCAACAAAGCCAATCCTTCGACTGGTGGGGTATTCAAACGACGATAGTTTGACAGCCTCTTCGTGAAGCTTGGCAATTGTCGATTCATGATCGTGAAGCAATGGCGCATCATCAAGCACAGCCTTGAGGTCAGCCGTGAGTCTCTTTGCATCACGTAAAGCCTGCTGGAAGGCTGGCGAATGGAAGATATCCTCGGGAACAGGTTCGTCATGGACATTGTGGCGTGTACTATAGGATGCAGATGGCGATCGCCCAGAACGGCGTCTGGCTCGTCGAGGCGTGCCAGCATCCCGCTGTGGAGCTGGGGTTGTTGTAACGCGCTGGCTAGGCTCACGCTCGACGGCATCTACGGCGTGAAGGAGGTCTGTAAAGCCAGCGCTGAGGCCCCTCTTGTCTTTACTTGCGAGCCGCATGGTTTGCATCTGTGATTCCAGCCCAAGGCTCTCTGAACGAGCCCCATTTGATGAGGCATGGGGCGGAGGGGATATGGATACAGACGGAGTCCTCAAGCGCCCGATCGAAGATTCTGTCTCTTCTGATGAGTCTCGGACCCAAGAGTCTGACTCAATGGATGGGATGGGGGTATCGGCTGAGTTTGAGGTCTTAGCTGGTGACATGTTGATCTACTTCGGTTAACTTGGTAATTGTTGGTGAGAGATTAAATTTCATGAGAAAGAGAGCCTTGCACGAAGGAATGAGGAGTGGACCTTTTGTAAAGGAATGGAGAGTCACATTTCACAGCCACCTGTTTCTAAATATGGGTTATGCATGTTGGTTCACAACCTGCAGATGGATATTGCAACCTGCAGCAATAGCATTCTGATGGGCGGTTCAATCAGAGGGTTAGCGCTAAAACGATTTGAAATTAGCACGCAATTACCAATCATTCACATTCAGAACCGAAAGGCTGAAATGATGCTGCATACGGCTTGTTTCGTGTGGTTGTTGGTCGCACACCAGCCGGCCTAGTGGTTTCTGAATCCTAGAAAGATCTTTCAGCTGAACGTTCAATCTACCAATGACAGATACAATGACAGGCACAATGACAGGAACAGAAAGTTGCCCCGTCACGATTTTCTGGTCTCTACATCGCGCTTTGGGTCGCTTTTCTTGGCAACCTGACATCGCCGCCACCTGGCGACATTTCTGCCATCATGCATTCACAGCCTGATCTTATCTTAGAAACCACTGATGATTATATGAGTTTGTTGAACCAGAAAATCACATTCTTTATAGGCGCACGACTGAAATGTTTGCATAATGTGAATTTGGTAAGCAGATATATCATTGAACGATATAGACTTGATTTCAATGAAATATTTGACCTACAATATTGATTCTAAAGAGCAAGGCGCACTAGACGACAATGAAGTCTCAAAGGATACGAACCTTCGTCTCCTTAATTAGTATCACGATGGCTGAAATGCCGTTAGCTTGTAGACTGCTCAGGCCGAGATATAGACACGGGAGCGAGAAAGCGAGGTACAAAAGGTAGGGAAAGAGGATGGTCTTGGGGGATGTAAAAGAGTAGAATTGTTGAAAAGGTGCCAGTGTGACTATCCACAGCTTCTTCCCAGAACCCAAGCTGGAAAGTAGCGTTCATGGTGGTATTGAAGAGTGCAGTGTTCAAGAGGTCCTGAGACATAGTATGACTCGGGCTATCGGCTGGATTTAATGAAGTTGTCTCGCTGCGTATTGAAGTGCGTGTCGGCGCCCAGGGTTTCGGCAGTCAGCCCTGCAACACGCAATAGATCAGAACCAAGGGCATAGAAACCAAAGAGATTATAGCTGACTGGGCGGGAAACTTACCGCAACTTACGGCAGAGCCATTACCAGCGCAAAATTTACCGTCGGATAACACGGTGGAAGTCCTTAAAAGTGTGTTCATTAGTGCTTCTATTATAGCAAAAGGATTCTAAGCGGCCATTGTTCTCATTAATTCCTGGGGCTATACTGAAATTTCTAGAGACTTGTCGAAGTATGAAAACTGATCCTTTCGTCTTGATAAAGGATCTCTAAGATTTAGATAAAGATTTGATTGGGAAGTAAATATTGAGTAGAGCCGTACCATTCGTTGTACACGATTCTAGCAATTAATATATCCATTTATTTTTCTAATTATGAGACTAATGTATCAGTGTGTTCCTGCAATGGCTGAATGGATCTTTTCCATCTTATATCTATGAAGAAGCCTCATTGATGTAACCAGCTTACGGCTTTTACCTGGAGGTTTAGCATTGCAAACTTATTGAGAGATCGCTGAGTGATAGAATCGGAAGGAATTGTATGATATTATCCTAAATACTGAGGGAGAATCGAGTGTTTGGGGGAGTAATAGTATGAGATTCGGATGTGACGAAGACCGCAAAGGTCAATGTTCCATATCTAAACACTCTAGTACAAGCCGCCATATTTCGAGAAAATAGCTTCAACTGCTAATTAATTGCCAAGATTGAGCATCATGGCGGTACAATAAGAAGCATTATTATCTCAAACTAACTTATCAGACTGTCTTGCTGACTGGTCCATACCAGTCATCAAATCCAAGATCCCATCCAAACAATGGTGTGTTGAGACGCTTCGCCTTACCGCTGGCAGCCAAGCCGTCTAGGAGATCTAGATCTTCCCGGGACAGTTCCACAACCTCTTTATTGCTCATATTCTCTTCTCATGAACCGACTTGGGAAGAACTACTACTCCCTTATTAACGTGGTAACTGATCAGCACCGTAGCCGGCGATACATTGTTTTTCTTAGATATTGCTTGAATATCATCATCGGACATGAGAGGAGTACCTGTGCACGAGAGAAAATGTAAATCAGTCTGAGAACACTACGCGGCAAATAAAGATAACATTTACCAGCTGATCCAAGTGGAGAGTTTGCTTCGAGGAGAATGCCAAACTTGGCACAATACTCTCTCAACTTATGTTGGGGGAGGAAAGGGTGTAGTTCTACTTGGTTGACGGCGGGAACAATTTTCCAGGTCTTGCGTAGTTCTTCTAGATATGGGACAGACCAATTAGCCACGACAATGGCCTTCACCTTGCCAAGTTTGTGCACCTCCATCTGGCGCCAAGTCTCAGACTGATCCCATGACCTGTCGACAGATCGAGTACCGTCTGGGTTGACTGGAAGGAGTTCGCTTGTCTCATTCTACGTAGGTTAGCAATGTTCAGGCAGCATGCTTAAGACGATGAAGATGAGCAAATAGTACCCAAGGAGAGATAGGGATTTCTACTCACAGGGACCAAACGAACCGGCCAGTGGATGAGCTAAGCGACTGTCAGTTTTGAATTGTATAGAGAATATACAACGTTGGCTATGCTGATTGACATACGTATAGGTCGATATAGTCTGTGCCTAGAGCATCAAGAGACTTTTGGAGCCCCTCTGCGACATTAGACTAGTGAGTCTTCCAAAGCTTGCTGGTCAAGAAAATCTCTTCACGAGGAACACCACTGTCTTTTATGCCCTGGCCGACCTCATATTCATTTCCTAGAGATCAAAATGACTTTATCAGCCTGGAATCTTTGGAAGAATCTCACAAGGACTGGGTCAAATGTGACGTGTATTAATCTGATTCTTTCTTCAACTTAGGCAACTTCGTGGCATTTGCCGCACACTCCGGCGGTATCTTTCTTGATATGGGCATCCATCATGTAAGCGTTGTGTTCTAGATTACCTTCCTCGGGCGCGTAGGACACATTCTCTAACTAGCACTTTCTACATCATAGATTGACACTGGCCGGTATCTGCTAGATGTCAAGTCGGGTCTTAAAAACCCCAAGAAGCAAGTCAAAAGGGTCGTTGCAATGGGCCAGCGAGCTGTCTACGACGGCCTGGCTGCGTTTGGCGATACCGATAATGCATATGGCCTGGTTGAATTCTCCAACGGCAAGATCTGGACCACGCATCTCGCCAGAACGACAACAAACGGTTTCGAGGATTTAACCCGCGTCTGCGGCACCAAGGCACCTCCATCGTCAGCGGCGTGAGCAATGTTGAGATCCGCGACCAGCACGGCGTTCGCAAGCGCACTGTGCCCGACGCCTTCCAACTCTTCCCTGAGACCTTCCTTACTGACATTACGGAGTTTGCCAACGCCGTTCTCCTCAATAAGCCCCTGGTGTGTCTTGCGGAAGATGCCTTTGAGGCGGGTAAGATTTGCACCGCCTTGCAGCATTCATTCCGCACCGGGTTCCCTGTGTACTTTGATGACAACGGTTTCCCTATTTTGGAAAATGTTACAAATGGGCATTAGAGATTTCGCTAGCTATTTTGTTAGTTGGGATAGAGCAGGATATTAAATTTGGATGGAATTGCATTCATTAAATGAAATCAAGTCAAATATCATCAAATACTCATCCTCTGCCTCAAAGCTTGACTTATCCTATCAAGTTACAGTTACCAAAGATCTCGTTTAGGGAATCGAGTGGTGCACTTACCGCCTGTCCCTCTCAGGTACCTCAGAATCCTTGGAGAGGGCCTGATAGTCCTTCTTGGGAGACGAGTGGGATAAGAAAGTGTGTTCTTGAAGACGGAGAGCACTTGCTAGGACCTAAAATGTGAGCGCGAAAGCTTCCAGGAGCTTGTTTGGCAAGTGTTAGTATCCTCGTGCTATCGAGGACGACCGCCCAGATGGGTTATAATCATATTCTTATGGAAATAGAGCGAGAACAAAACATGTCGGATAACTGCCTGCTAGTCGTTTTAATGATGATACAGGCTCGTAGCCAACCGCTGGCGTAGGTAGCTCGTTCATTCGCTCGCCCCATACCTCTTTGATATCTCGAAGAAAGATGAGGCGTCCTCCGAATGATGTAAAACTAGTGGTGTTTCTTCTCTCCGGTTGGGCACCAAGACGCTGACCAGGCATCCCAAAACGTTCACGTGCAACGTTGCGTCTCACCGAGGCACAGCGTCTATTGGTCTCCCACGCATAAAATCATGACACCTCGTGTCACAGGGGAAGTTAATTCTGTAAGCGAGCCCAAGGCTTGCCGAACATCCCTGATCAATTGGTGGGTAGCAGCTGCGTTGCTTTAAATCGGGCAGAACTCGTAAATACCCAAACACTTATCCTATTCATTGGTCGCGACGCCGGTATGTCAATTTAAAAATGCGCTCGCATCCCTCAGTCCATCCAGGCCGCTTTGCGACCTGTTTTCAGGTCCATTAGTATTGAGTGTTCCTTTCACTGCTCTTGGTTAAAACGCTCACCACATTCTCGATTTTATCGCGCCAAAAACACCAGACACTATGGCGAATAACACACCTCTTATCCCGATCGGAGCGCAGCGCGCGCTGCAAAATTTCACCAACAGAACTGTCAATGGTCAGCATATAACGACCATTTGCAACGAAGGCACTATCATCATCCCGACAGATGTTGGTGCCGACAATAACATTGCAATATACAACGACGGCACCGTCGACATGCCAACAGGCGCAAGCGGTGGGAAGAAGACGACGAAATACACTGAGCGCAGCAAATCCAATACTACAAAGCGCAATAGAGCAAACCATGAAAAAAGCCACAGGACTCACCATCGCACTCGTGACGAAACCAACGGGTACGAATATATAAATGATGACGCAGCCTACGGCTACACCAATGATGCCTTCGACGAACCCAAGCCTAGTGTAAACTACTGGAACGAGCATGGAAACTACAATGGAGCCAATGACTATCACCATGGCACTTCTAATGGGAACCAGCTTATCGGTACGAATCATACTTGGAACAACAGCAACTTTGGCATACACAATGCACCGGGGGGACAGATTGCTGTACCACCAGGTAGCACGAACGGCAACAATATCGCCATATACAATGCACCCACCGGCAACATTGTAGTGCCGGCCAGTGTAGCCAAGACCAACAACCTTGCCATACACAACGCACCAAACGGCAAGATTATCATGCCAATAAATGGTGCCGACGGCGGTCACAAGAAAACAGTCAAGTGCGGGCGTTGTGGGCAAAGATTCACGACGCGGGAAGATAAGCAAGATCATCGTGAGGCATATCCCCAGTCTTGTAAACTCCATAACAAATGCTTCAGAAGCTGGAGGGACCACAACAACAAATATCCGCATTCCTCCTGTGGAGTGTCGGGTTGTGAGAGAGCGGGGGTGGACTACGGGAGTGATGCCAGATATATGCAACATTTCAACGGAAGACATAATTTTTATTAGGGCCAACTTGTTTATCATACGGGTCTATGCAGACCAAGGAACTTTTATCTTTCTACGAGCTCAGGTGTTTTTCCTCCAGTCCTAGAAGTAGCGTTAGCATCTTGTCTTAATCCAGATCTTGAGTCCCAGAGCTCAGCTCAACAGTTTGTTACGGGACTTGGATCGAGGGTTGTTTGGTTTGTGAGACAATATAGACATGGCACATCCGCTGAATACTGTGCCTTGTGAACATTTCTTGGAACGTTGTATTAGGATCCCATCGGCTACTTTCGGTTGAGGCTTCATCTCTCATGAGGTAGATACAATAGTAGGACAAGTGACCAACAATGATATGATCCAACAATCTATCGTTACAGTACAATATGCAAGGGGTATTGGAAGCCGCAGTTCAATTAAACATTTAGGATCTGATCATTCTTCAAAATGAAAAGCCGATGAACGCGAAATGGTACCGAATATCCACCAGCTTCAACACGATCTTATCCTTGCAAGGAACAAAAAGGTTATACTCAAGCGTTTGATTACATTAACATTATTTAATCAAATGATTTTGTCCTATTCAAAAGCATAGATCCAAGTCTTTGCTCACAACTGCCCGCCTAAATTTGAAGGGACAACACAGTATAGGGTAGCTCATTATTGACGGAACTTGGAAGCGGCCCGGCCCGATCCCGGCCAAGTGCCGCCAGACATAATGTTAGCGGGAAAAAACAACATGAAGATGGCGTCTATAAAAATCATCCGGGGAGAGTTGTGAGGGAGTCGATAATCGATATTGGGAGGGGCTTTGGGTGAATTGGTAATCGGTGAAAGCGTGACTGATTTCGATCGCCAACTTGCACATTGAGCAACTACGCCAAGTCTAAACCCCTGCTGAAATATGCCGCACGTCCTTTTGTTGTGAAAAGATCGCGTCTGCAACGCCAGAAGCTTGTTAAAGCACACGTTGACTTCATTACAGACAGCTATGAAGTGCATATTTTACTCGGTCGGGGATCAATAACACATTTGTGCTACCAAAAATGCGTCGGTGCTGCAGTCCTCACATTTGAGCTGAGCATCACAAGCTGAGGGCTGCACGTGATTAAAATATGCACGATGCATGCAGCTCGACCCAGCCACCAGTCAGGCTTTTTTCGCTTGACCCTCAGGGCGGCAGAGTCGAATCGACCAGTTACTGCATCTTTGATAGAGTTGAAAAATCCCCCACCCGCCAGCCAACGACAACATTGGGCATGGGAACCTCGCTTCTATCCGTCGGGAGATCGACCAACAGTGAGAGCAACCTGTAACATTTGATCCGAAACGCCTGAGATTAGCCCCTGACGCGCTCCTGAACCCGTCAAATGCCGCCAGTACGGCTGGCGAATATGCCACCGTCCAGCCGACCTGCTCTGGATGACCCCAGGGTCCAGCGCATATCTTTGAAGTGAGATGCCCAAGCCCAGAGCATTCATGCCGCCAACGGCCTTGTCGGAATTAACACTGAGGCTAACGTTACTGCCAAGTCCCGAATTGAGCGAAACGGAGCGAGCTGGCCAAGATTGCCGCCCAACAACATATGCAGCCCTCCTGGAACACGGCGTCGGTTCGGGGAAGGCAAAGGCAAGTAACAAACCCTAGAGTTAACAGTTTGGTAACCATCTAGCTGACTGTAGTTGCAGGCTGACGAGCTCCAGCTGTAGTATGTGCAAGAATCGAACAGAAAGTCTCAATCGCCTGCCTAACACATACCTAGCTTTCTTCCTCATATCAGCCGGGATCCGAAAGACGTGAAGACATCGGGCGTCCTTGGCGATGATCCAGATTTGTGCAAAGAACTCACCCGCAGTCTTCACCTGCCGCCTTTCTTCTTACAGCACAAGGCGTGGGACTCCAACGGGTTCCTCATTACCCGACACGTCGCCCATCCTGAGGGTCATGAGCTTCAAAGTGAGAGTTCCCTTTTACTTGGCTTTGGAAAATTTTGCTCACACGCGTATCAGGCTGCTCGGGCCGATTTTTGATCAAGGTCGTGACGCAGGCAAACAACAAGTGGACTTATTCCTGGCAGTTCTTGTCGTTCAGCATCCTATGGGCTAAGAATCTCAAGGACAACAAAGTGTCCTGCGTGGTGGTTTGCTATGATGACTGCCACGAATTGGAGGACAAGATCTCAGACGCGTTGAAAAAATACTCACCGGCAGACATCAAGGATAACCCGCTCGCCATCTATGATGCTTTCCTGCAGGTGGTTATTTGGGAATATGATTCCGCGCTCTGGGGGTTCCGGGAACCAGTCAGGAACATTGAAAAGGTATGTGTTTAATCCTACGTTGGGATTTCCAAAGTATTCTTCGATGTTTACCTTTGGCGGGCGTCAAACCAGTTCTGACATCCCACCATCCAGGCTCGAGAGGGATTTATCGAGGACGTTATCGCCATCGAAATGAAGGGAGAGAGTGAAAAGATCACCAAAAAGTATACTAATATGCATGAGCTATCTCGTCATTCGATTCACATGAGCGAAACACTTCAAGCGGCTTCCAAGACCGTCGAAGAAACCCTCCGCGATATCGAAACAAGGCTGATGAGTCCTGGATCGGGGCTGGGCCTTGCAACCATGAACACTAGGAACATCGTTGCTGGCATCCGATTCTCCAACGTCTTTCTTAACAACCTCAAGCTGCGATCCGATGCCTTTGTGGCCCGGCTTGAGAATGAAATCCAGATGGTGAGAATTTACTGCTGGTCTCAGCCAGATATATGCCTTACTAATGGCGCCGTGTCTAGGCATACAACATGGTCAGCGTTTATCAACTCAAGGAATCAAACGAGTCTACGGGGTTGACGAAATTCGTGACCCATTTGACCCTCTTCTTCCTGCCCTTCACTTTTGTTGCGGTATGTGCATCTGGCAACCCAATTCGTTCCAATCCTCCGTGCTAATTGTGGCCTTGCAGGGCTTTTGGGGGATGAACTTCACCCAGCTAGACAACGACAGGAAGATGTACGTATCCACAGACATCTGGATGTTTGTCGTGACGGGTTTCGGGTCAACGCTCGCAGCATTCATAGTCCTGTATTACAGGCGAATCGCCAACACGACCAAGACCCTGTACAATAAAGTCACCCCAGCTCCAGTGCGCCGGCCAACCTTTCGCCTTGGCAACCAATTTACTTGGGACATAGGCCGCAAGGAATCGGCGTGAGTGTTTATAGTTGAGTGGTTTGACTTGTGGAAGAATTTGTTGGATGGTTGGCACTCTTGTTCGCTTGCATTGGAATCTATGATTGGATTGATCTGTCTTGGAATTTGCCGATAATGGTGAGCATCTGGTGGAGGTGTAGAAATTGATGACTTATGACCTTCAGTTGCATCAATACCCTTTGTGATCATACTATAGCAAGTGTTGGCGTGCTTGCGCCTGTTAGTTGGGCAAGTCAGGGGCTGCCTGGGCAAGTAGGCAAAGTGAAGGCATTCACATCCTCAATGGAACCACAAACACCAAAACGCGTCAATGCATGCATGCATTAGACATGTCTCCTGCCGGCAAAATAGAATCGGGCCACGGAATATTATCAATGCCTTCTCGTGATGTGATGTCATTTCCGGATGATAATTCTCTTCCCGTGCTGCAACATGCACTCAACTTACCATTGCTTGGCAAGCCTGGCTGCAGGACGGTGGCGATGCAACCCTTTCAGCTGGCCTGAGAATTTTTCTTCCCTCTTATTAATACAGTTCCCAAGCCGTGATTCAACCCCCGTGATTGGTTTGCCCCCCCTGCTGGAATGTGGAATCTGCCCCCCATCACGTTACCGCATGTTCGACATGCATGTAAAAATTGGCCCGAAACGAACTGCAGCCAGAACAAGACTGTCTTTCATTCGTAGCAGCTGGATGGGAAAGGACCAGGGTGGATTGACGCGGCTATAGAAGGGCATTGATTGATGCGAGCAACCGCTGGTAACCGCGAGCACAGGCGGGAAGCCCGTATTAGCTGACTGTAAAGTTTTTTTCACGCTTCCCACATGACCGGCCGTCTCCGATGGCAGTAGATCTTGACGCCTCTGGAGTCTGGGCGCTGGGAGCCCGCCTTGTCGAACGCGCCCTGTCACGCAAGCCGTGTCTAGGACCCCTCCGCGGCTTTGCCTAGACGGTTGTGGTGGCTGCAGCACGAACCCCTGCACGCCCATGCCATGTCCGTACAGCTAAAGGGCGCGGTCCTGTATTCCGCTGATAAGGTCTCCGTTGCTCGTGTGCTCGTGGGTTTTCGTGGATGGAGGAGGAAGAAGAAAAGGACCAAAAAGGAGAGCCTTGAACCCAGCAACACCGCCTCTTCTTTGGCTACAACGTCATACAGAGAGGCCCCCGCTTGCACACCAGCATCTTCCTGTTCTCCCTCGTCTCATCGCCTTGCATCTGCATATCCTACGGTCCACTCGGTGTGCAGGTGGAACCCGAACCCACCTGGAGATTGCACTCCCCCGCGAAATCTCTGCCCACTTGGCCGCCACTGCTCGTCTTATATCTACTAGATGACCCCATGCATTGTTTGCTTCTTCTTCAACTTTGATTTCTTGTGAAGGACCCTGCCAGGATGACCTTGCGAACAGTTGATGAACGAGAGCCCTTGCTCAGGGCTTCAGATCTCTCAAATGACCTGCACAAGACCATCTCCATCTCCAAGGTCGAGGAGGTAGGCGACTATGAGAATCCTCAAAAATGGCCCAGCAGCTTCAAGTGGCTAGTCACTTCATTGCTGTTCTTCATGGCTTTTACTGTGTACGAATCACTTCCCTGTAACTCCCACTGTAGATCAAACAGAGGTGTAGCTGACCTAATGGAATAGAACCTTCAACTGCATCTCGCCCATGCCAATTGCCAGCCGCATCATCGAGGACTTGAATGATGGCCAACCCAACAGATATGCCACCGTGCTCCTCGTCACCATCTGGGAGTTTGGCGAGGCTGCTGGCCCCCTGGTCATCGCCCCTCTCTCTGAGATGTACGGCCGCTACCCGGTCATCAACATCTGCAGCGTGCTCTTCGTCATGGCGACAGCGCTGGGAGCCGTGGCGCAGACGGCGCCCGTCATGATCGTCTCCCGCGCTCTGTCTGGCCTCGTCGTCACCTCCAACGTCCTCGGCCCTGCCATCGTCGGTGACATCTTCGAGCCGGAGCAGCGAGGTTCTCCCATGAGTCTGGTCATGCTTGCGCCTCTAATTGGCGGTTCGATTGGGCCGGCGCTCTCCGGCTACATCGCCGAGAGTCTTCACTGGCGATGGGTGGTCTGGATGAACGTCGTTCTCACCTCGTCGTGCGCAGTTCTCTTCATCATTTGCCTGAAGGAGACGTACCACGCGGCCATAATCAAGAAGAAGGAACGATTGCTGCACAAGGCCAGCCGACAAGCCACGAGGCTCGAGGCAAACGACGAAGTCGTAGAGATTAAGTCTGAGAGTCAAAATGGTTTAATGGAGTCGATTGTTCGACCGGCGGCTATCCTCAGCAGCTCTGGAATTCTGGTCGCCCTCGCCCTCCCTGGTGCTATTGCGTATGCCCACTACTACAACATAACGACAACGATGCCCGACATTCTCCAGAACATCTATGGCCTGTCCGCTCCTCAGATCGGTGCCTCTCTATTCTCATTCAGTAAGATACCCTGACCCCTGGGCATGGCATATGATTCATATCACTAACTCAATTCCAGGCATCGGATCTATTGCAAGTGTTATGCTTTGCAATCTCACCCTCGATAAGATCTACGCTTCGATGAAGGCAGCCAACGGTGGCATCGGCCTTCCCGAATTTCGACTCCCAATCTGCATCTTCGGCGCCCTCGCCCTTCCCCTGACCATTGCCCTCTACGGCTGGGCCGCGGAGCTCCAGCTCCCTCTTTCCATGGTCCTGACCTCTGTCGGACTGATCGGCATGGCCATGCTGGCTGTCGAGATCCCGCTGGCCGCTTACATTGTCGACGCGTTCGGCGACTACTCCGCCTCGGCCATGACTGGGCTGGTGGTGATCCGATGCCTCGCGGGTACTTTCCTCCCCCTCGGCGCCGCCCCTCTGATCGACACGTTCAGCTACGGCTGGGGATTCACGATTCTTTCCCTTATCACGCTCGCGCTCGCGCCGATTCCGATCCTCGTGATGCAGCATGGCCACGAGTGGCGTCAACGTTCCGTGTACACCAGACTCGAGCCGGACCAGTAGGCTTTGGAATTTGAGGAGGGCAAGTTTGCTGTGAGCCGAGGTAGATGAAACATAATAGCGGGTTTTTCTTTAGGCGTTGGTTCTATTTTCTTCGGGTTTTACAAAATGGGTATTGGAAAGCACTACTAATGACTGTTATGAAATCATTTTGGATCATGTAGCATGCTAGAAAATTATAGGATAAACTAGAATGAGTTTCACTTCATCTTAAAATAGTCCTTTTGCTCTGTGCTCGAAAAGAAACACAGATGTATAGCTTCCTATGACACGCGTGGGCAGGAATTCTTGTCGAAGATGAAGCGCGTGTTCGGAACACGAATGCCAATTAAACCAAAACAATACGCTTAACAAACACCCAAAAATATTCGCCATAGTAATATCAAACGTACAAGGTCCCTTTCACCTCTTTTTTATTGTTTTTGGTCTGGTTTATATCATCCCGTCGCTCGTCCTGAGACTGAACTCGCTAATTCTCCCCGAGTTGTCTTTCATACAAAGAAAAATTAATCTGTGCCTAGTGTAGTGATCCATTAAAAATAGTCCATACCCTTTCGGAGGGCCAACTTGATATTACATGCAGCTGAGTTATGACCCCCTTGAGCCGTGGCCATATTCTGTTCCGCCTCCCGCTCTCTCTGCATCTCCAGGCCCGTTCCGGCAATCGTATTCGGCAGAAGAACCGGACTGGTAGGTATTTCGGCAACCGGATAGGGAGATTGGGGACTCTCAAGCTCCGGGAAGGCCGTGTACATCTCCTGAGGCGCCTGTGGCGGCGGCTGTTCGAGTTCTTGGGCGGCTTGGTATGGATGCTGCTGCATTTGCGCGTTCTGAACCTCCCACGTCTTCCCGGTCTGGGGGTCCCACATCATCAGAGTTGGCGACCTGGAGGATTGCATGTAATCTGCGTTCTTCGTCCACGGCGTATCGGGAGTTACTTCGGTTAGGATCGACGTTTCCGGCTCGACTCTGGTCCACAGCCCGTTCGGTGCCTTCTTGGTGCTCATTGCGAAGACAAGGCAGAGGATGATAAAGCCGGGCCAAGTTGAGAATATCACATCAATGAGGCTCAAGAATATCAGACGTGAGCCATTTCCAGGGTTGGCGGATATCAGTAGGCCGTAGGCGGTACAAACGACGAATAGAAAACCGCAAACGAGGAGGAAAACTGAGGCCTGGGGGCAAGTTAGCTAGTCCACAGCTGCATTTTGGAACTGCTGGGGGTTTGAATAAGGAAATGCCAACCTGGTTCAACTCAGCCACTCCTCGAGTCTTGAGCTTAACTCTGATAGCCCAACTGCCAACTAGGAGTGACGCGGTGCATATGCACACTTGATACGCCATATTCACTTGGAACACTGGCGATGATGGTGAGATGGTATAATAAGAAATAGTCGCGCCGACATTCGCGGCTGTAAGGAGTGAGAGGACAATCCCGACTATTGGAATACTGCGCCTGGCTACTCTTTCGATCGGGGTTAATTCGTTTAGATTGGCGACGAGAATTCCAACACAGAGGTGTGAGAGTAGGAGCAGTATCAACACGTCGGTGAGTTGCGTGAGGAGCAGATGTACGGCGGTTAAGCCGAGGATCGCTTTGATAGCTGACAAGCTGATAGTTGACATATCCGAAGACGAGCTGCCACCGATGTTGGACACGATGAACGCTGCCAGGTCAAAAAGACGCGACCTACACGATGAGCGGTGTCATGTCAGACGTCTGTCACCTCTCACAGCATAATATTTCACTGGCGCGCCTTGGAAGAGCGGCCACGAGATGATAGAACTCACACGAAGAAGGCGCCTAGCGCTATCCGCAAATAAAGAAAACCATGACGCGCAGCATCGCCGCGTCGGTGAGAAAGGCGAATAGCGCAGCCAAACACCACGACTGAAGCTAAGCCCGTGACCCCAATAAGCACCTCCCGGCCCGTCAACACACTGGAGTCCCGGTCCATAATGACACCAGTTCACCTCCGAGGATCCGTGCTTGATGGTCGGGCAGCAGAAGGATTGTTGGCATTTAGAAAGAGTGAAGATGAAGATACGACGGAGCTCCGCGTAGAAAGGAACGAGGAGCGGTGTAGGGGATGGCGAGGTAGTATGATCAAGTAGGTAATAAGACATCCTGAAGGGCAGCAATGTAGGCACTGAAACTGTGTCAGCCTGGGGGTTGGAAGCAAGACATGGCAGCCTATTTGGAGCATATTCTTTACATAAAAGAATAGGACACCAAATTCATCGTATATCTAGTCACTAATGGAATTATTGTCATCCCGATGTAAGCAAATAAGTGAGTCTCAAAGAATTATCGTGGTGTTGGAAGCCTTGCGCCTGTGTGTTGTAACATCGATTGCTCACACAACGAGCCGGCCTGTCTCATATTTTTCACCTCAGCCGCAGTAAGCCAAGTCTAGCCCTTACCATTCAGGAAGATGAGAGTCCGTGTGACTGAGAATGTCTCAAAGAATACACAGGGGTCTATGTCGATCAGAAAAACAGCCTTCACAGGCGCTACCGGCCAGTGCGCAGCTCGGCCCGACGATGGGAGGATAATGCCGCAATTCTAACCGGCGCTATATCGTCATGCATAAACTCTCAAGTGACTCTTGTATAAGAGATATCTGAATACTCGAAAGAAATTATGGGAAAACCGGGGATGTTGATCCAATGCATACAGAAACGGCTGATACTACATGCGAGTGAACGAAAAATGTGTATGTAAACTTGGCCCTATGTCTACAAATACTCGGCCTGAGGATTCCAATATTATTAATAACTCTGACCGACTCATCGGGGCAGGCATCCAGACACAAGGTGAAACCGTTGCCAAGCTTAACGGGATCCGTTCTAGATGTCTGGTCGTTATAAAACCGGGCTCATATATTAATATTGTTGTCTAGAATTTAAATACAAGCATCCTGCTAATAAAAGCCGCCCCACACGCGCGTGTAGAATCCCAAATGAAGATTTCGTCCGGTCCGTCTGGAACATCTCCCTCATTCCCCACGTCCCTTGAGAACAGAAAATAATGTCGTAAGCGGACTAAACATGGTTTTCCGTACTGCAGCAATGTGGATGATAAAACGGTATACATTAGGAAAAAAAGGCCCAAAGGCGGCTTCTCCTACGAGTTTTAAGCAAAAGGTTCGCAAGCTCGTCCCAAAACTCCCGAGAGGCCACCTTTGCCCTCCCGTTACTGTCCAGTAAAGAAACCTCCTCTTCAATACTTCTCCCCTTTTTCTGTCGACACCTACATGTTGGGTCACTGGTGGATGCCCCTGATTCGAGCAATAGTCTGACCATCTCAATCCTCTGACGCGAGAGGTCGTCCATGAGGACCCTCCAGTTAGTTGAATAGTGAGCCAAATCCTCGTTCGTACGGCTCACGTAGAATTGCCAACCGAAGATTGTATTTTCCAGCAGAGATCGCCTGTTTGGCTCGGATTTGAGAAGGCTCTTGTTAGTCTTCAATTTGGCTTTGACATAGGGGACAACGGCGAACTGTGCCGCGATTCCCACGGCAGAATTTTCAATGCAGAACGGCAAATTGTCCTGCGTCCATGACCAGTGCTTTCCGGCATTGGATTTACCGCTGGATGAGCGCTCTCGCTTTCCTCCGCGATGAAGCCATCGGTTTGTTTTACTCGATGCCGAGTCCGATTTCGACAGATTCGCGTCAAATATGTAGCCGCGCTTTCCGAGATCTGCAGCTCGCTCGCAAAGAGCTGCGTCGAAATCATCAACCGCATGAACAAGGGATTCAGAGAAGCATTCCTCCACTTGAGACGCATATAGGAATCCCAGGACAACTAAATCCCAGAATGCAAGCTGTGAAAACCCCAAGTAGATAAACAGTCGGGGTTTCGAGATCAGTGTTGTGAGCACCTGGAGCAGAACCAGTTCCGGAGCAAAATTCGTTAATGATTTGCGAGGTGTCGATAGCATGGATTCTTGAAGGACCCAGTCTCGTGCAGTTCTGTGAAGAAAGGTGATGATCCCGTCGTCATCCACTTCTAGAAGGCCTTTGGTCGAGCTGTCTAAGCGTCGTTCCAGTATTTTGACGATATTTTCCTTGTGCTCCTCTGTGAAAACATCTCCGTTCGGCAGGCTCTCCCCGTCCGCTATCCAGAGCGATATGGCGTGCAAGGGTCTTAGAGATGCAACTGTAAGCTGGTAGTATCGGGTAGAGTTTTTCAAATCTTGGGGATCGACCTTTTCTCGCATCCGACTGTAGAGCTGGAACAGGTCTGTTGGCAGGTCATCGACAACAGCTTGCAAATCGGCCAGGCTTCTACCCTTGGACAGACTGTACAGCAGGTCTCGGACGACAATGAATACCCACAGGAACACTCCCTGGGCCTTGGTTGCTATATCATAGAGCAGAGCCCCGGCCTGGTCGGGGAAAAGCACTTGCCGCTCTCGAAATGCTTTGCTAGATTGGAAATTTCCTATGATATAGGCCTCGATGTCGCCTTGGGTGAGGTATTGTATTGCAAGCCTGGGATATTCATCAAATGCGTCTGTGAATTCGGTCAACGGTCGACTGCCCAGACATATTTTGACACCATATCTTGTTACAAGCTCCTGAATGAATGAGATCAAAGCAATTGGATCACCACTGAACTCATCAAGTCCGTCTAGAATCAGTGCGAGCTTGAGGGAATGTCCATTAAGCGACGCCAGGTTGAAGAATGCCTCTTGCAGTTCTTCCCAACTCCAAGCCGGCGCCGGTGTTTCTAGACCACGCAGGACTTGATACACCGCCCATCGTCGTGGAAGTACGATCGGCGTGAGGTCGGGCATTGATTCTAGACACTGGTAGAGTAGTGTCCGCAATAATCCTTCTCGCGTTTTCTGCAAGTTATTGTGCCCGGCTTCCCAGAAGTAGAAGTGGCCAAGAAGTAAGGGAAATGGGGCTGCCCATTTTTGGAGGTTCTTTCTTGTCCGGGAATCGCGGACGATGAAATTCATCAGGGTTGACTTCCCAGAGCCTGGTTTTCCCGTGATCCAATATACCGGACACGGATCTTGAAGCCAATTGGTGAAGTTGTTTCTTCCCTTGAGCATCTCGTTGTTTCCATTGTGAACCTCATCGTCGCGCTCGAAGATCCAACGATAGGTGTCGTCGTATGGTTTGGGTATTGACCTCTCCCTCCGAGAGATATCAGAGAAATGCAGGCCTCTGACTATTTGTTTATGGATCTGGTTATTGAGATTGTTGCTTTTAGAATGGAGATCACCATTGTCCCCAATAGGTGCGTCAGAGGGGTGCCAATCTGCTTCCCATAGTCTTCTGAAAAGAACATTCCGGTTCCCAGGCCCTACGGTGTCATCCTCTGAGGAGATCTTATCGAGTTCAGAAGCGAATTGGTCCAGTTTGCCGTTGGTTCTATCAATGTTTTGCGATAGCTTGGAGATCTGGTGCTCCAAGCTCTCACTCCCTCCATTTCCGCGGGTTCGATCCCTTTCCCTGCATGAATTGTTAGTTGGTAGTCTTAAGGTACACTCATCTGCACGGGCACATACCACAGGGAGACCAGCATCGCCATGGTCATTTCCGACCGTATCTGTTGCAATCGCTTCTCGATATTTTGAAGGTTCCCTTTCGACCACATGGCCTTGAGCGCGACAGTGACACTGTTTTTCGCCATCATGGCTTTTGAGCCGCCCCCCTGGGCCTGGAGATAGCCCAAAGCGCTGTTGACTTCTGCTGTGATGGACTCGCATTCCCGGCAGAGTCTGATGAGCGACTCGTCGGATGCTATAAGGGCTTGAGAGGTCGCCGTATCTAGTGCATCGCTGACCTGGGTACTGATCTTTCCAAGGTCTTTGACCAGAGTCGACAATTGGAAGTTTTCCGAGGATATACCCTCTGGTGACCGATAGATTTCGATGGACTCTGAGACTAGGCCGTAACAGAAGTCGACAAACATCACAACTGTGCCGGCCACTCGGAATGCAGAGACGGGATCCATGATGTCGAGTGCTTGAATGAATGTCAATTCTCACAGGGCTTGACGCTGAGCACACGCGACCAGCCTTAATGCGTGCTGCCAACGCCTTAACCCGGGTACTAGATGGCGATTCGCGCTTAGCTGCATCAATGGGGAGCTAGAAGCTTGGGGAAATGGGTGTGTTCGATCTCCTTACCGCCAACTGCAGTGGCTATGCGAAATTTGCAATAGCGACATGGGTATGCAGGAAATTTTGATTCTGGATCTCGGCCAACCCCTCACTCATGAGGCAGGGTAGGATTGGCAGGGGTAGACCTGGGTATGCTATTCTAGGAAACATCTTCATGGACAATTAGAAGCGGGAGGAATTCTCTTTCAATGAGTTCCGGTAGTCAAAAACTGTATCTATAGACAGTGCTTTAATTTCTCTACCAAATACAACTTTTCAGATAGCCCTAGCCTTCATAGAGAATTGCATCCTTAGAATTGGTCAAGCCTTTTGATCGAGTTCTGCTGTCTCAGGTGAGGCATCCCGCGAGCACGTGCCACTGACAAGATCTTTCAGCCCAGGAAGAGCAACAACGGTGATGGCAAGGGTAATCTCAAGCATGCTCATTGGATCTATGTTTGGGGGTGAGGTCAGCACACATACTCGGATTTACAGTTCGAGTGTATAGGAGCGCCAACTTACAAACGAGGTTTTCCTGGCCTGTGCCGATCTTGAGACACGCAAAGCGTACAATGGTAGTGAAGATGGTCAAGGTACCGAGGACGAAGGTGAGGGTGACACCCTTGGAAGGTTTCAGCACACCTTGCACTAGTAGGACAACCGGGAGGGCATAGACTATCGGGGGAAGATATGTCAGCTGTGAAATCCGGACACATATTTCTCTAGTAGTTAAATGAAAGAAAGAACTTACCGACGAGATAACAAGCCAAATTCAATGTGAAGTTGAGAATGAAGGGTGGTGTGGCATAGAAGACGCTGCAGGCGCCATCCTCCTGAGACCACTGGACGGAAACGTCTTTGCCGCAATAGAAAGTGTCATCCCAGAGAATGGCTATGTAGCAAAGACAGACGAAAACAACAGCACACCAGAGGGTCCTGCGCATGCCCTTTGTGATGTTGGGGACGAAGTAGCCCCAGTAGAAGGCCAGCATGCTCATCTTGGGGAAACCCATTCCAACGTCGTAAAAGTAATTGGAAGCGAAGGAAATCTGTTTCAGATAATGGTTAGTAAATATAAGGTCCTATTTTCCCAGAAAGGAAGACAAAGCCAAGAGCTGTATTGTAATATTCCGCACCTTGGAAAGTGTCACAGACGGCTCCCACTCGTCAAGTACACCAATCTGGTAGGTCAGAGTGTCGCAAATGATGAGAGCGAGTGCATCAAGAGCGGATAGAACGAGTAGCCAGTCAGACAAGTCAAGCTTTTGACGTAGGCGGAAGAGACGCGTATAGATTCGCAAGGCAACAAATACGTAGGAGGCGGCGAGCAGAATCCATTCCGATATCTGGACGTTTTAAGTATTAGCTGTACAGACTTGTTTCCTCGTGGGCATTGAATCGCTCACCATGCAATCTTTTCCGTCAATGAAATACGCCATGCTGTCAAAAGTCCCTGGATGTCACCAGATCGAAGGCGTATGTCGGTGGTTTGTAAGCGTGGAAGTGGCTTGAATGTAGAGGAAGGAAGGGAGAGGGCAAAAAGAGGAAGAAATTATAAACCGGTGAAAATAATAAGTGGTAATATTATAATTTCTTTGCTAAAAAACAGGGACAGGAAATAAACAGAAAGAATTCCATGAGAGACATGGGAGTGTCGCATCACCGTGGCCATATGCAGCTTGGTAAATCAACAACCAACCCAAGGTTGCATTCAACAGAGTACAGCTGGAGGCCATCAGAGTTTCTGGGGACTTTTGGTGCACCTACATCAAAACTGGGGTTTTCGAAGAGGCATAATGGTCTGACTTGGTCGTACCGATACGACCTCAACGGTATTTATGTTTCCGGCCAACAGGGGCCTGCAGCTTGGTCTGATTCATCACTGTGGCATCTTTCCGAAGCACCCAACGAGTCTGGCGACACGCGTAGAAGAAATTGAGCTGCATGGCGGACCGATTTGGAACATGGAGCCGGGAATGGTCGGAGAGTCAGTTCGAACCCCCTGTTCTCACAGGGATTAACACAGTGCTGCCTCGATGCATGTTTCGTCTGGGCCGCTGTGTGATACAGCCTACGTGATATCTTCCAATGTTATCAGGTCACAGCGAGAAACCATGTGCCCGGTATATTCCTATAGGGAAACAGAAAACAAGAATGGTAGGGACTCTATGTATCTCTATGGCGATTCTATTTTACCCAACATCAATTATCCTCTCGTCGCAAAGACGATACACTAACTCGCTCCGTCTTGTAAATCCCGCCGCGTCCTTTCGGGAGTTCCTGTAGCTCTACTTCGCTGCCTGCGTGTCCTACCGTAGCGACGTTTGTGGAAGTCACATAGGCATCCCGACCGGATGATAGTTTAATGTGACCGGTACTCGTCGCATAATTCTTGTATGCTTTTCCGTGAGACTTGTTGCTTGTCGCGCCTGTCTTCGACGAGTGTGTCTCGACGCGGCGGATGAGTGATCTGAGGGCAGGTAGACACACTACTATGATGGCGGCAACCATTTCCGCCATGGAAAGCACGTCTGGTGGCCCGGTTAGATTGTTATTCCACGTCCCGGGTATTCTATTTTATGCATGGGAAAAGTAGAGAGTGAAAAGGGAAATCAAACTGACAAACATTCGTCCAGGCATGAATAGCTTGCATCGTGGCAAATCGAACGACACTGGCGGCTACAGTGACGCCGCCCAGAGAAAAGGTGACGATCAGGCCGATGAGATATCGCTTGTCGATCCGCAGTCCCGGCAACAGAAAGAAAGGTATAGAAAAGCCTAACAAGTGAATGCGAATTAGTAACCGATCCAATTGTAACATACATATGCATCAACATACCCAACAAGTCGGCAGAGATGCTGAGGACCCAGTCGATTCGGGAAACATTCATCGAATCAAAACTGCTACAGTCTCCGTCGGGATCCCAGTTGACTGCCACATAAGAGCCGCACCAAAAAGTGTCCAAGAAACAGGTAGTCACGAAGAAGATTACTGTCACGCCTGTGATAACATAGAGGTACTTGCGTAACTTGGGCATCATATTCCTCGGCGGGACCAGCTTGTAGTAAAATGCAAGCAGAGCCATCTTTGGAAGATAAATACCCGCGTCGTAAAAATAGTTTCCCGCAAACGCAAGCTTCATCAGAGCGATATCGACGTCCACGGGCGTCTCAGGGGCATCTGGGTCATAGTCGTCCATTCCTCCTAAACTGTATGTCATCGCATCGCTGACGAATAGGGCGATGGCATCGGCCCCCGAGGCAATAAGTAGCCAGTCGCTGAGGGTCAGGCGAGTTCGGGACAGGACGAGACGCAGACAGTCGTAAAAGAATGAATATCAAGGCGACGCTCAAGAGTGTGGCCTCGACGGGCTATTGCAAATCACAATGTTAGTTAGATTGATCTCTTGGTTGTGGGTCATCTCCCCTGATGATTATCGACAGAGTGTTGAGTTGCAATATGGTAGTGAAACAGAGTTGAAAGGACATACCACGACTGCCTTCTTGTCGATACCTTTCCCCATTACGACCAGTGCATGAATGAGAAGGTATAAGATTGTTTTGTATTCTGGGCTGAAGGCTGAACGAGCCCCTTCTATTACTATATCATACCCTCGGTCTGCATCTGCCCCAGAAGTGCACACGCCGCAGCAGCGCACAATGTTGCCGCTTACTTTCACCCGTTAAGCATCATGCATTCTTGGGCGGTTGGTTCAGGGTCAGTAAACGAGAGCTCCCCTGAAACCGTACGAGGAACTTGCATCAACTGCTGTGGATGCATGCAACCACACGCTGACAAGGGCCATTCATGCAGGTCGTTGGTAGCTACTGAGGGATAACATGCCCGGAAAGAGCGCGCGCCCTCCGATACATGTTCGAAGGGGGGACTCGGTGTAAAAGAAGTACTATCAATACGATATCCAGTAGATGCCATGTCGAGATACTGGATTACTTCGTCTTATCAGCCCGGTGACCCGGTCAAACTCCCAACAGCATGCTTAAAGGACCGCGGCCCGGGAGAAGGTCACCTCGCATCGGGTAATATGTGACAACCCCTGCATCGACGGGTGGTAAGCACACTCTCGCAAGCTTCGACACTTTTCTGAAATCTCGGAGGAACGAACCCGACAAGCCAGGGTCCAGGTTGTGGGAAGCTTTCCGCTGTGCAACCCCCAAAGCTCATCACCGTCGTATGGTGATGTGACCGGACCCCTTGTCCGCTCGCCAAGCTGGATTTTCATCTCCACAGACGCAAGGCATCAATATTTGTCTCACCGGTGCGCGGATCCCTGGACCAGCCGTTGCCCTCCCCCGTAGCGGAACATTGAGGCTGGGGCGAGTTCATCCAGGGCGCATCCGAGAGGCCTCGTCACATCGAACATGGGTTCGCGGGTTTGGGCTCACGGACTGGAGTTCTCTGCCTTTGTATGACGTATCAGAACTGCTCCTGTACCTACGGTCTACGATCTTGCTATCCAAACAGTCCGGTCAGTTGTTATATATCGCAACAGCCTCTAGCTATTGCTACAGACATACGTTGGTACAAGCTACATACTATCCGCCGCTGTCAGCTGCTAAGTGGAGTCCGCCGCCATACATCTTAGCCGATACAGTTGTGGGTGATGGCAAGCCCCTTGATTAATACTTATATAGGTCTGAGCAAGAAGCGTGCCAGCCAGAATGATAATGGGTATACCGGCGAGCAAGATGATAGCGAAGCACGTGATCCCAATATTCACAATCTCAAACAGTGGTGGTGGTAATAGTAAGAGTAGTAGTAGTAAGTGAGAGAGCTATGCAGTTGACGGTAGCTGCTGAAAATAAAAGGGGATGGGGAGTATGTGTTCAAATCCATGGAACATGCTCGCCTCCTTGTTCAACAATTGGGTCGAGCTTTTCTCTAAGTGCCTGGCTTTCTTTCCATACAAAAGAAGAGGCAAATAAGGAGCGAACCTAAGATACGCCTCAGCCAATGGGGAAATCTACCCAAAGGTGTCTCCCGTCAGCCATCCTTCTACTGGATCTCGCCAAGCCTAGGGTTGCAGACCCCTTTACCGGCCTCCTCGGCTATCCAATTTGTCACCTGGCCAGAGCAGATTCCAATGGGGGAGGGGGAATTGGCGCTATCATGCAGGCTTATGGACCTCCTTGTGCTTTGGTATATTCGATATGATGATCAGCTGGAAGAGAATTACATCAAGAGCCTAGGGCATCTTCATTTGATGATAGAGGCCGGATGACACCCAAGTTCTTGGTAAGTCTTATCTTGCAGAGCGATGATGATATCTGATACCCAATTTTTCTCGGCGATCGACAGAGCATAGAGTTATAAATGTCCCTAAATCGGTATAGGCACTGCGAACAGCATGCGTGTTGATCCTAGCGTCATCCGTGCCCGAAACTTGATGTGCCAGGATACAGCAGGGGAAGAACGGCCGTTGGAGTTGTGAGCTTGGGTTCCAAATCTACGCACATGACAGATTGCGTAAATGATCAGGAGAGCAATTTCGCTTCGCGTAGGCGGATTTGATAAAATTAGGTATCAAAGAACGAAGATGTTGGTATATTGGGCACCGTGGCGTGTGATGGAACCAATCACACTCAGCATGCGTTGGCAATGCAGTCACTAATCACGAACCCAACTTTTCCCCTATCTTCGGGTACAATTGGGTTTTGTCGTTAGTGCAAATGGGAAAGTTGTTGTTCGGTTGGACTCAGACGATTAAATAACAAATTCTTATCCCAAGCCCTACTATCAAGGCGTTGGATATTCACACTTCCTGAGCATTGTGATTTTGAGCCACCGCGAGTCTTTACGATCTTCTGCCATTGTTGGCTTTGGATTTATCTTCAACAGAGGTCTGAAAAGGAACTGTGCAAATTCTCAGGTACACGACTAATGATGATAGCAGATGTCCCAGCAGTATGCAGAGCAAAGGGCCGGCAGCCCCCTGGCTCGCCTACAATACTTACCCCATATCGCCGCCAAGGAAGGGAATGATGCTGCTCTGTCACTCATTCTGACCAAGTCCAGAGAATCTAGCCCTGGGAGAGGAACCTTCTTGAGCTTTCTGGATCAGAAGGATGACGACGGTAATACTGCCTTGCACCTGGCCACGGAGAACGGCCACGTCAGCGCCATATACAAACTACTATGTGCCGGGGCTGAGGTGGACCAGTGCGACGACAAATATCACACTGCTCTTCATATTGCCGCGAGGACAGGCAATGTGGAGATTATTCAACTTCTTCTCGATTTTGGATCCAACGCAAGAGTGCGTGATTCCAATATGAGAACGCCCCTTCATCTGGCCGCGCTCGCCGGACATACTGATGCGGCTTCCCTCCTCATTAAGCAAGGCAAGGAGGCAGTCGATATGGAGGATATGGACTCTCAAACTCCTCTGTTCTATGCGTCCAAGAACCATCATCTCGACGCGGCCAAAGCGCTGGCAGAGGCCGGCGCCGACGTCAACGCGAAGAAATACGGCTTACCACTATTGCATCAGATGGCGAGCTTCAATGACGCGGATGCAATAGATGTACTCATTGAAGTCGGGGCGGACATAGAGCTCGTCGATTCCAGTAATCGGTCCGCTCTCTATGTGGCAGCTCAAGAAGGCTGTCGGAATACATTTGCTTCACTGCTCAAGCATGAGATGAAGAAGGAAGCTGATGATAGTGACATGGGCCGGGTTCTTCTTCGACGCGCGGTCGAAGATGCCAGCCTAGATGCTGTTGAGCTCCTTCTCAAGTCTGAATTCCGAAAGAAGTACATCGAGGATGACACAGACATGGAGAACCTCCTCTATATCTCAGCAAGAAGAAATCTTGCCAAGATTGCTAAGCTTCTCCAGAGCTCTCTCACGCAGTTTAGGGAGCCAGGAGAAAACAGGCTCTGGGAGGTTCTACACAGAGCCATTCGAGATGGCGATCCTAGTGCGGTCGCTATTTTATGCGACATTGGAATTGACAAGGAGGCGAGGGACAGCGCAGGTCGGAATGCTGTCTATCTTGCCGCCGAGATGCATCATGGTGCTGTCGTCGAAGTCTTGACGCAGAAGAAGGCAGACCTCGAAACCCCAGATGATGGAGGGGAGACTGTCCTTCATCGCGCCATCAGGGAGAGTAATTTTGCTGCCCTGGAGATCCTGGTGGCCTCGGGTGGGCCTCTTGACGCCGTCGATAATGAAGGCAAGACGCCGTTGCATCGCGCAGCAATCAAGGAATCTCGCGCTGTTGAAATTCTCGTTGCCGCCATGGCCAGTGTGAACATAGAGGATCAAGATGGCAGAACCCCTCTTCATCACGCCGTTGGTCGAGTGGGATATGAGGCTTTGAAGATAGTCGACATGCTCCTGAGGAATGGCGGTAGGGTCTTCACACAGGATAAGAAGAAGGAAACGATACTACACACCGCAGCAGCAAGCGGGGATCATCATATTTTGACTTTACTCTTTGATAGTCGAAAGATCCAGAAGTATTATCAGGAGCTGGTGAATGAGGAGGGCCAAACAGCTCTTCACGTCGCCGCAAAGCATGGGAATCTGGAAGCCGTCCTGGTACTTGTTACTCAGGGACTAAGCACTGAGGCATTGGACGGTTCCGGCCAGACACCCATCCAGCTGGCCATCCAAAGAGGACATTCCAGAGTCGTCAATCAGCTTTTGGCTCTTGAGAAATGGTCCGCCAAGGACAGCGATCAGGCCCGTCCCTCCTCCTACCTTGCCATGCTCAGCGGCAATCGACAGACAGTTGACTTTGTTATTAATTCTAAGTCGCCTGAACTGGTATGGATATAACTGATCTCGAACTAGACCTTGTCACTGACACGTTTTCAACACAGGAATCTATTTACTTGGAGAGATTGTATTTAGCTTCCACCCGGAGATTCACCCAGCGAGGCTTGAAGGGCCTAGACGTCGACGAAACGCACCTTTCCTATGGAGAGGCAACCAACAACGCTTTGAGTTGGGGTCTACCGCCCAGGGCTATTCCATGGATGATGAAACTAGGATTTTACGACTATGTTGTCTTATGTGGTACGTGGCCCTCTGTCTCCCTGTGTCCTATTCCATCATCCTTTGGCTTACATTTATGTCTCTAGATGACAGTCAATCAGTCCACGACAACGAGCTGGTTGGAACCGTCAAAAACACATTGGACGAAATTGCCAAGATCGCCGAGTCATTCACCGAATCCCAAATAACTGTGCAATTCGTTAACGCTGAGAAATCTTGGCATAGTAACTGTGGTGAGAGTCTACGGCAGGTGGCTGATGAAGCGCTACGCACACGAAGTGAAGGTCTTGCTCTAGGCACGCAGCTGGATTCCAAGATCGTGAAGCCTATGGTTCTTGATAGGATCGATGCAGATGCCTTCAATAAGCCTTTGGTCGTCTTTGTGGTCACCAACGGAAAGGTATGTGAATCAGAAATGTCACTTGGGCGGTGCTTTCCTCCGACCTTGAAACAGCTAACAATTTACTTTAGCCGGAGAGCGAAGAAGAAGAAGCCAAGTTCTTTGAAGTTATCACACAATGCTCTGATCACCTTGAAGCAAAGTCTCTGGGGAAGTCGAGTGTCATATTTGTAATGTCGGAACTGGCTGGCGACCCTGAGCGCGAAGAGCTTGCCAACGGTATCAAGAAGCACAAAGGAGCCAAGGACTTGGTATATTGTGTGACGGAGACCCTAAGTGATCTGATGGAGTTTGGGAAAGAGCCCGAGCTGACACATGGGCCTACCAGAAAGGCAAGTCTTACACTGTTCATGAATATCTTTGTTTGCGCGCTGACTGTTATGATCTTTACTACAGTTATGTGAGCTTTTCCTAGCGGCCCTAGAGAAGCGGGATGTCACAACTAGAACAAAATAGCCCATCTCATGCAAGGGAGTGGGAAGCCGAGAGTGGTCGATGTAACGAGTATTTGCATTTCGACAGACTTTTATATCGCCAGGGGTTATCAAACAAACGCTCGTTTAGATGTAGCTTTTTCCTTTGTACAGAACTGCACAAGAGAGGGTGTCTAATGATGCCAGTGTCTTATATGTAGCCACATATCAAAATTATGCAATAAAACCAGATTACACTTCGTGCCTGCCAGTAGATATCGAATGCATGCCCATACCGTCTGAGTCTTCAGTAGTATTGCCCTGACAATCCTGAGAGTAGATTTTCCCGCCAGTGCCATAGAGCAGCATACGCAGCACCGGGTCCCACAATGATTGGACCGACTAAGACCATGATGGTCACTTTGAATGCATGCAATGTTGAAATATACCCCATGCCGCGGAGATTCCAGACAGTATGAAGCATAAAAATGAAAAGGGATGCCGAAGCAAAGATGAGATCCCATGTCAACTGGCTGTATACGCTTTCGGAAGTACCAAGCATCAGCCCGAGAAAAGGAAAGTTTGACGACTGCAGGATGCGAGAGAAATGCCCCCTCAGCTGTGCAGCAACGAAAATCGCCGTCCCAAGGTGGATGGTGCCCAAGGAGACGCATAATAGTATGTATAGCCTGTTGAGATACACAATGCCATCGTTTCGTATACCAACGACGGTACTCTTGTCAGAGGCGACCCTTTTTGAAGTCGACTGAGAATGTTTCAGCCCTTTGATGCTGGTAAATTGGGAGAGAGCCGTGAACAGTGCTGTTAATACCCCGATGTACACAGGAACGGATTGCAAAAAGTCAAATGAAATCTGAATTGATTTCTCTTTGAAGTTCGGTGCCACCATGAGCCCAATGGCAACAAAGGAAACAATGAAGAAAGCCAGAGTAGCCCCTTTGACAGCGGAGGACGGTACTGGTCGTCCAATGATCGTATTGTTACCAAACGCCATATGAAGAATAAAGTATAGAGAGGTTGCCCAGCCAAGACCTTTCATCTTATAGGCAGCCCAGAACATAATTGGCCTTTAATGAGTCAGAAGTCTTTCCGTTCTCGAAGGGGGGTAGAAAATATAGACAAACCAGCGAATAATACTTCTCTGATGACCAAGTCGATAACCTTCGATCGTCCAGATAGTAACCAGAGATATCAAAATTAATATTGTTTCAATAAACGCCAGGACCTCATTGAGATCATGTTCCAAAGCCAGGTGAGGGTATATGGGTATCAGTGTTGACCGAATGTAGTCCATGAGAATGCTCGCATATGTCTGTTGTGACCCCCGGCCTGCAACACCGTCAAAACTACCCCGCAGAGCCGAGAGATTGTACAATTCTCTGGAGCAAATGAAAATGAAACCCGTTATCATGATAGACAGCCATTTCACCGTCCACATCTTACGAATAGGTCGCGCAGGTAGCTCATCAGTGAAGGGAACAAGCCGTGGTCGTTTGGGAGTGGGGAAATCACGAAGGCTGATTGCCCCTACCACTCTCTTTTTGAGATGTCTCAGGTCATATTCAAGCCCACCTACAGTCCCGAGAAACCCAGGGACCAAGCCTGACATGGGATGATCATTCGCCAGCAGCCTCTGTTGGTCGTTAGCAGCTTTGACCAACCCCTTTACGCGGGTCTCAAAGCGTCTTTGTGCCCGTGTAAGTATGGCATCATAGTCGTCGTTCGAGATGGTCCTTGCATTTTTTCGTTTAAGCAAGCTTTGAAGCTCATTGACAAACGCAGCCGAAGACTCAAGTGCTGACATGCCCCCCTGCCCTGCGATAGGGTTATGCTGTATCAATCCCGGTCAGCCAAGCGAAACCAACTAAGGGTCTTTTCATGCGGTCACCTTGTGGGCCGAGTCTCCCAGCAGCATGATCCGGCCGAAGTGCCAACGCTTGAAAACATGTTCCACGAGAGGAGTGAGAGTTGAGTAAAGCCGGCTCTCATAGAGATCGCCAAAAGTATGTCTCCCGGCAATCGGATCACGCAGGTGTTTCTCAACGAGTGAGGTCTCTTCTTCTTTCGTATACCGGGGTATCCGGTCTCTATTCGTCAAGCCGTTGCCCGTGTTCACGAACAGAAACCAGTATGTCCGTTTACCTGGCCCTGGGGATATGAGATATGAATGCCCATCCCCACAGACAAATTCGTTGGAATCGAGGCCCTCGGACATCTCGGAAATTCCAAAGACGCATTTGTACCTGCAGGAAATGACTAGGTTCGCGTTCCACGTCAGCTTTTCTCGGCATTTTGCGTATTTGTTGGGGGGATCCTACGAGATTCCCGGTCCTTGAGGAAGACCCCTGGTTGGATCTGTTCACCGATACGCCACATCTCCTCTCTTACTCTGCTGTGAACACCATCCGCGCCCACCAGAATGTCACCTTCAAATGTCTCTCCGTCGGTGGTAGTAACCTTCACCTCATACTCCCCCATGTCCACGTCTGCCACCTTCTTTCCGAGGTGAACCCTCTCCTTGTGTTTCAAATTATCGAACAGGATTTGGAGAAGGCTTCGTCGATCGATGAAAATAAAAGGGTATCCGTGACGCTTCTCGAGATGATCGCCCATTGCCGGACTGAAGCATATAACTCGACCCTTGGCATCGCGGTTGGTGTTGCTCATCGGATGGTGACCCCATGTAGCTCGAATGGCCTCATAGACACCCATCTGATCAAGAATTCGCAGCCCATTTGGAAACAGACCGATGCTGGCTCCTACCTGAGGTGCAATCTCGCTGTGTGACTCGAGCAGGACCCAATCAATTCCGGCCATTTCCAGCATGTTGGCAAGGCCGAGGCCAGCGATGCCACCACCGACGATGATAACTTTGAAGTCCTTGTCAGCCATAATGTCGTTCGCTAAAGAACGTCTTCTAGCAAGATTCACGAATAACAAAATAGGGAGACGGAATAGAGGTTTCCCGAGAGGGTTGTAAGCTCATTATTTAGCCGTGTAAGAAAATGTTGAGCGCGCTAATGTCTTGTTGGCGGACGTGTATCCCAGCTTATCTCCGCCGCTCATGAATTGCCTCAATGCTCACACAACCCCATTTAAAACCTGCAACTGATAAACAGGGTTATAATAAGTGGAGAGGCAGTTTATATGTACGAAGAACCTACATACAAAGCCCTAGATTACTAGAGTTTGATCAGATTACTGTTGGTTAATGCTATGTAATAAACAATAACTTTAATCACGAACCTCCATATTCTTGTCATATTGTTTGTTTAACTGTGATAATGGCCAAACCATCAGCTCTAGACCAGACTAACATCATCTAGGCCAAAGACACCCCCTATACTAGAATAATCACACCAGAGTGCCACGGCCAGATTGCTTATTCCTGTGGTTGAAGCTGTGAAACTTCCCGATAACAAATAGTAGCGAGGCGGGTTGCCTCCGCCCGCGCCAGAGTAAATGGTCGCGAGCGCGAAGGGATTCGCGTCGACGGAGGCCTGCAAGTAGCAGCTGCTCAGTGGCAGGTCCAGCACACTATAGAAGGCCTTGAAGGAGTACGTTATCCCGCTTGTCAAGCTGACAGGCTGAGAGAGTGTCGTGGGGCTCTCATCACCGGTGTTACCGATTTGGCTGTCTCCGCATACATATTAGCTTAAGATGTCCATCCAATAATTACAAAAGGGAACCGGCTTACGCGAATTTATCGCCGCTGTGAGCTTCAAACGGAAAATTGACTGTGCTTTCATCGTTGTCGGTTATCCTCAAATAGCCCGAACCAGGCGCAACCACCCATGGGCTAGTATTTCCGGATTCGAAGCCACCGTTGGCAATCAGCTCTGTCGGGGTTGGTGGAGTTGTAGAGCTGGTTGCAGGAGGTTCTGAAGCGGTAGTGCTCGGAACGGAGGTGCTTGAGACGAGGCACCTACACGCACTAGAGAGCCGACAAGGACCACATGATGCGAACTGGGAGGGCGCTACAGTTGCACTATATCAAATCAGTTGGCTTTTTGAGCGAGCTGAGCGACAAGGAACCAGCTTACCTAACTAGATACTCGCTACAGAACTCAGTTGCTGTTGCCGTCTGGTAGGACTTGATTGCACGATAGCAGTTGTCCGCGTGACAGTGAGCTGTAACGGAGGGAAGGGCTAGGAGAAGCAGAGTTGCAGAGAAGATAAACATGTTGACAACTTGGGGGCCTCGGTGAAATTGTCTGTATGGTTTGTGTTCTTGCAACTTCAGACTTGGGGAAAGTGGCGGTTTTACGTTGTAGAATACACACTTCGATTAAGCAATACGAGTTGCGCTCTGAATGAAGACCATGGCAATATTACCCGCATCGCTATATCATAACTGTAATGGCGCTAGCGCAAAGGTACTGCATAAAATATTGAACCATTTTCGTCTGTTCAGGGATTCATCTTGCAGCTCAGCTGAATGATATGCAGCCAAATTGATCCATGCATGAGACCTTGCCGACCTCTTTTCTACAAACCTCGCTTACATGTGTGGAAACGCCTAAAGCCGTTTGAGTGCCCTGGTCTCGTGATTCTATCAATACTCAATCCTTCGAAGCAACATTGGTTCAGCCTCAATCGCTACCACGAGGATCACATTGTGAGGGGATATTCGAACCCCCCATTCGAGGTATTAAAAGCGACCTTCCCTAATCTGCTTGCAAAAATAAGCGAAAGTCTGCAAGAGATGAACTGAATACGTGCCTTGGCATCTAATAATTCATGCGGCTGCTTCCGAAAACGGACCAGCACTCACAAATAAACAAAACATGACCACGCAGATTACCATTTGGCGAGCCGAGTTCCGAGAGGGGTAAGAAATATGCCATATGGACAAAGAGGAAAATGTAACCAAACGTCGTTCATTTCAGGGCATTGAAAAAAACCTACACTTCTTTGGCCCACTCTGGAAGTGCCCATATTCACCCGCCTATGGCTTATATTGGATATATTGCCAACATTACACCTGGTCTTCCCATAATCAATAAGGTTCTATATAGTTCTGTTAAGACTGTCAGCTTTCAAGGATACAAGACTGCTAGATTGGGCTACGATAAGTAGCCCCCTTTCGTTTCTAACCGGGTGTTCCTTAAATACCCATAGAGGCGAGTCATGAGAACTATAAACGAGTGTATGAAGTCAGCACAAGGGATGTTCCGATTACCCCGCACAATCAGACCTCCTGTATATATATTGCAGCCGAGCAGTATTGATAGATGTTGGTCTCGTCGATCATAACTGTTTTTCTTTTCTACAGATTAGTAGATTCTAGTAATATTACTTCTCGTAGACTTTTTACATCGTTCTCCTAAGGCTCTCAAGAGAAGTCAGTCTTCAATATCCTAGATAGAAGAGAACCGATACCGCCAGAGATAGGGAGATGACTGCTCGACGCCCTTGATTTGCAACTAAAATGATAGAGACTCTATGTCTGGTGATATAATTCCGAATTAGCGAGACGGAGAACGCCCCCTCACAGTGCAATCGCTCAACCTCGCGCGCCAGACAGTTGTATCCCACTCGAGTGGGATGTAATTAGTCATGAAGTCCCAGTGAAAGATATATGGTTTGGTGCAAACCATGGTTCTAGCCAATGATATATCATTCAGTTCGCAAGGGTCCATTCGCTTGCTGTGTCTAATTGTTCATTCATGGATGAGATGACGAATTCTGAGCAGATCGAAGTTCATGGGTACGATTACCAATCAAACGCCTGAAACAGCAGCAGCATGTCGTATTTCTAATAGAATATCGTTCTTCTGATCGTTTCAGGATCTTCTAAGAGTATTCCCAATTGCTTAGAGGCTTCTATATATCACCTCCTATCATCGCGATATACTTTCTTCTGACTTTTCCTCCACACACTCGTAAGAACATACAACACAACTTGGTATTTCGTCAAACATCGGCAGTATCATGGCACCAACTTCAATCGCTCTTGTTCTTGGCTCCGGCCCACGAGTTGGCGTTTCTGTTGCCAAAGCATTCGCCAGCAAAGGCTACCAGGTAGCCATTGCCTCGAGACATGGAACCGGGACCAAGAACTCGAACGGCTATCTCTCGCTCAAGGCAGACTTCACCAATCCCGAATCAATCGCGCCCCTGTTTGAAGCAGTGAAAACGGAATTCCATGCCTCACCCAACGTTGTGGTGTACAATGCCGCTAGTCTGACTATCCCTCCTGATGAGGATTCTATCTTGTCTATCCCATCCGACACGGTTGCATCAGATCTCAATGTCAACACCATCAGTCCTTATGTTGCAGCTCAGCAAGCAATCCACCATTGGAAGGAGCTTCCGTCTGATATCAAGAAGACCTTCATATACACTGGTAATATTTTGAACGTGTCGGTTATCCCAGCTCCAAGAGTGCTAGATCTGGGCATGGGCAAGGCCGCTTCAGCATTTTGGGTCGGGGTGGCAGATGCATCGTATGCGGCAAAGGGATTCCGGTAAGCATATTCAGGCAGGACGGCAGGGTCAAAGAAGGTAACTTTAGGTAGATGTGAGCTGATCCTCGTTAATCACCTATAGATTCTTTTACACTGACGAACGAAAGAGCGATGGTCGACCTGTCTCGACGGAAATCAATGGCGATGCACATGGCGAGTTCTACCTCGAGTTAATTGCCCATGAGGGGCAGATTCCATGGCATGCTACCTTTGTTAAGAACCAGGGATACGTTCAGTTTAAGTAGATGAGCCACACTTAAATTGATGAAACTACTTTATGACACAATATGGCGCCGAGCTAAGATCAAGCTCGGCAGAGTGTCCCTCATGTCAGTTATTCCTTAAGCGCGTTCCCCGGCGTTGTCACAATCATACCCCTTGCAAATGAAGTGTCAGTCAGTCACAGTTTCAAGCTGTGAATAAACAGTTAAAAGATTCAAGCGACAGTCGAATAATACCAGAAACAGTAACACACAAACTAAAGGAATGTTTCGAGGCTCGATAGCAAATGTTGGTACTCTCAGCTCTTGTCCTCGCTGGTGGTCGCCTTCTTCTTGGCACCACCGGAATCGTTATTCTAAACTCGAAGCGTTCTTTAGCTTGCTGAAGGCGTCTTTGTGCAACCCGTGCACGGTCGAGCCTAAACACCAAGGTATTTCTTTTTGTGATTTTCAAAGTTTCCTTTGAAGGCGCATAACACAAAGGCTGGTGTAATGTAGCAAGTTCCAAACAGTCGGCTCGACTGACGTCCTCGGGTATAAACTCTTTCCAGCAGCACTTCGAAAACTTGATTCCGTCTGCCGATTTCTCATCGTCACTATAGAACACCTCTGTCATGATTTCTGATCCCACTTTACATCTCAGTCCTACGCAGCGAAGGGCAATGGGTCAACAATCAACACCGCCGTTACTCTGCTTGCCCCCCAACATCCGCAAGAGAATTTATTTCTTCGTCGGTCTCGTCCGGGAGTGCCCCGTTGCTATTCATCCGCTTGGCAAACCCGCCTTTGCTTTCTGGCCTGAGGAAGTAGTTCCAGCTATCGAAGCATGCGCCTTCGAACTTCGCAAAGATACAAGGGACCCTGTCCGTGTGGGCACGCATCCTGAATGCTTGTGCCCAGAGTTCCCCAAGCAGCTCCTTCTCGTGTGTAAGCAACTGCATAGAGAAGTTGAGGAGATTCTATATGGCGGAAACAAATTTGTCATCCGGGCTCAGAAGGAGGCTGGGAGTCTCAACGTCCTGCACACTATTTCGACCAACGCCGTGCGGTCTTTGCGTCACCTCCTAGTCCGCCTAAACAGCTGGCCATGCATTCGAGGGCACAGCTCGCCGCTCAGCAGTCGGGAAAAGTGCTTGAGCTGCGGATCAGACGCAAGCTGGGCTGATCTAGAGATACCAACTGACAGGCACTCTCAACATATCATCGAGGCGTGGGAGGCTGTGTGTGGACGCTTAGCCAACTCAGGTATCGCCTCAGGGCAGCTCCATCTGGAATTCGTCTGTGATGTTGAAGACCTGCAGAGCGCCCAACGTGTGTTGAAGCCGCTCGAGTGTCTCCCACTCCTTAAACATTGCAACATACGGCTAGGGAGGGAACCAGAGCGGGAGCTCTGCTCACTTGCTCGAATAACTAGCGAGAAGCTTACTCGGAAGAACCAAAATACCGGAGGCTTTCGTTTCTTTGATCTACCTCGAGAGATACGTCTTCGGATTCTTCGGCACACAAATCTGGGCCCTAGTGGCGACTTTCTCCCAGATATGCACACGATCCGAGTATCCATGGGAAATTGGACCATGGATATCCCTTGACCGAGTTGCGTTCCCCGTCTGAAACTGCAGTGCAGCCCTGCTGACTCCACTGCTCCTTTACGAAACTGCATTGCCTCTGCTCTTCGAAGCATGCATCTTATAATCCTAGCTGTCGATGCCGGGTGCTGCCCCTCGAATTATTTCTTACCAGCCGACAGATGTATTTGGAAGCCTCTGAGATCTTCTACTCGGAAAATATGTTCCAATTTCAAGGCCCATTCTCAAAGAGCTGGTGGGTGCTCGTCAATATGCCAGTCCAATTGCTGGAGCGATTCAAGCGCATCACCTTTGACGTGGAGAAGGGGGACGTTTTTCGATGGAGGTATTGCCAACCAGAATGGCCAAGGCTCATCAGCTTCCTTGGCAAATATTACAACCCTTCCAACTTGCTGATATCAATAAATGCAACACATGATCTAGCGATTGCCAACAGGTTTGTCATCAATGGGGCCGGGGAACCCTTCTTGCGAGACATCTATGATGCTTACGTCGAAATTGCCCGTTCCATCAAGAAAGGGTTTCCTGGGCTAGGGGATTTCCACCTTTCTTTCAGCATTTTCCTGCAGCTGGAGCCCGTCCTGGAAAAATTCGTGATGGGGCCGGACTACGACAGTTCGCGTGGCAATCGCTATTCCAAGGCCAGAAACATAAAATGGCAAATTCCAGATGCGGCCGAGTACCTTACAGAGATCCCTGCCTGGCACAAAGACGTGCCAGAGTTGTAAATATTCTGCAACTTAAAAAAAAAATTACCAAAAAAAGGAACCGGCTGAACCGGTTGGCGGAACTCTCCCGCCGGGAATTGAACCCGGGTCTCAAGCGTGACAAGCTTGCATACTGACCACTATACTACGGAAGATGATCAGCTGTTTTCAGCTGCTGTAGTGGATTGGTGGGAGGGAGACGCACATTCGGCATAAGGCAGACTCTAGACCAACAAACCCTTTGACGTGGTAGATAAATACAAATCCGACATTACAACAGTTAAGCAATTAAGGTGACAATCAATATGTGACTCCATTAACATAAGACGTTACAAAACGTTACAACTATATGTACAAATGAGAAATTACAACAGCGCAAATGCGGACGTGACAGTCATCTTGTGACTGTCTGAATTAATGATTGACGTTACAACTAATATATACATGAATCTATTCTCTAAACAAAAGATTAAATCAAACCACACATCAACATCAGTGCTTGTGTATCTCACACCGAATGTCAATCCCACTTCATAAGCCAGGCAACCCCGCCTAGACCGCAGACCAGGTAAGCTGGAGCGTCAGAGCCTTCTCCGTCGTATACACCTTGGTATTCGCGGTGCCAGTAGGCAGCTCCGTGGCGTAGAAGGCGTTGGCCCCCATGTACGTCACGTACGCGCCGTCCCAGCCGAAGCTACTGCCGAGGGTGACGCTGGAGTCGCAGAAGATGGACATGTCGGTGATGATGGCGCACTTGCCCTTGGACGACTGGAGCGTGAAGGTGGCACCGTCGACGTTGGGGGTCGCTGTGAAGATGGCCGCGGTGCCGCCGGCGCGGTACCAGTTGCCAGAGGTGAGGAGCCTCCCGCCGGTAGATTCACCGGGCGTGGATGCTAGGACGTTGCCCCTTCCGGAGAGAGCCTTGCCAGAGGCGATGGGAGTGGCTGTGGCTGAGACGGAGGAGGATGATGGGGTTGTGGTCTTCGTTCCTGATGCCGCTGTGGTGGCTGGGGTGCTGATGGCCGACGACAAGGGCGTGGGTGTGCTGGTGGGAGTGGCAGCGGGAGTAGACGAAGCCGACATGGTGACGTCGGACGACGCAACATTGTTACCGCAGACGTTGATCTTAGCCACTGTGGGATCATGGTCGGACACCTGATCGGCGTACGACACCCAGGTGTTGACGTGGATGTGTTCCTCAAGGGGTTGGAGGTTGGCAACGGCAGGGCTGACGAAGAGGTGGTCGAGCTCCTCCATGTCCGCGCCGAAGGTGTAAGTGTATCGCTCATTAACGGGGATGCCGGCGGCTACATCGAGGTCGACCATGGACGACACGGAAGTGAAGGTCTTGACGGGCTGAACCACCGAATACTCGTTCAGGTCACCAGCCATGATGACACGCGCATCGCTGTCGATGGCCAGGATATCAGCGATGAAGCTACCCGTGAGGTTGGCCTGCTGGGTGCGCTTCTCGACGGGCGAGTTGACAGGGGGGCGGAGATCGCCCTGAAGACTGGAGCTGCCGCCCTTGGACTCCCAGTGCACGTTGACGGTGAAGAAGACGTGGTTACCAACGACGGTCTGCCACTCAGCGGCCAATGGCTTGCGGCTCGATACCCATGCAGCATTTGCTGGGTCGATGCGGCCCGGGTTATACTTGAGCGTCGGGCTACCGTTGGTACCCTTCACGACTTCGTTTGCATCGGTGGCACTGCCAGCATTCTCATTGTGCAGACGAACAATATTGGGGTTGTAAAGATAAGCCTGTCGAATGTTACCTCCGGGCTGGCCACCGTCAGCATTGTTGACCGGGTTGATCCAGGTGTAGGAGTAGTTGACGCCACCGAGCCTGGTGATGGCTGCAGTGAGGGTACTCAAGGTCAAAGAGGAGTCGACTTCGCCGTTGTTGGTGGCACCGTTGTTGTCCTGAACCTCCTGGATGAAGAGGACGTCGGGAGACTTCATGTAGTTGACAATGTGGGCGGCAACATCATTGACATGGGCCGTGTCCGAGGGAGCAAAGTTCTCAATGTTGTAATCACCCACAGTCAAGCCGGAACACTCGCCGGTGCTGATGAGCGATGTCGGTGGAGGCAGGGCGGGAGAGAGCGAGGATACAGTCTTGATTGCGGTCAAAGGCAAGATATAATAAAAGCCGAACTGATAGTGGACGACACCGGTGATATCGTCGAACTTGTCACCAATACGAGATGTAGTCACCGCCTTGGAGCCATCGAGAGGGGAACCAATGATAATAGCCTCGGGATTGGCGTCCTTATCACCAAGAGTCAGACCTCCGCGCTCGTTTTGGCCCGTAGTTGGCCAGTTGCCGATCATCCACGTCTCGCCATACGTGTTGGGCTTGGAGACAGCGATGGGGTTTTGGATGGTGACCAGCTCTCCGTTCAGGATCTTCCAGAAGTCCAGGCCGTACTTTTCGGGCTGCAGCTCCGGGTTGGCTATAGACACCTGACTGACGTTGTTTGGGACACCAAAGATGTCGCCGTTGTCGAGGACCGAGTACTGCTCTGTGGGAGGGTTGCGCGTGTCCTTACCAATCACACGCGGCTTGGGGGTGGTGGTGCCCTTGACCCATCCCTGCACCACGGGCGACTCCAGCTCGGTCGAGTAGAGGTAGGCCGTGTTGGAACGGTATTCGGTGACTTTACCGTCCAGGACGAGCGTGTCACCCACCGAAATCGAGGCATTCTTGCCAAGCGTCGAGCTGAAGACGTAGAGTCCAGTGCCTATGCGCTTATCGCAGGTCCGCCTTGGAGCACGGAGGTACAGCCCGGTGGAGGTCTTGGCTGTCACAATTCCAGTGACGTTGGTAACGGATTGCCCGTTGAATGGCGACAAGAAGTTTCTGCCGTTGATGGCGTTGATGGTTGTGGCTTGCGCCGCTGCCACGAAGGCAAGCGTTGCTGCGAGAATCTGCATCTTGTGTAGTGGAGAGGAGAAAGAATGGATGAACGAATCAGTGAGTGAAACTAAATGAATGGATGTATATATAAACGAGTGAGTAGGTAAAGAGAGCAACAGGAAAAGAGATAGTGAACAAGATTAACCACTCACGCCCGGGTAGTCGACAGGGGACGGATACCGGGGACGCTCCAGATCAGGGGAATCCATGGCATGCTCGTCCTTGATATATACCCTATCGACCTCTACTCTGACTGAAGCTCTTCCATTGTTACCGAGATATTGGATCGATTGTTGATGACCAGTTGGCAGCTTCCTATTCGAGGTGTAGCCTTGAGCCCGTCTAATTCCCAATGGCTCCAATCGGGATCCGTGCTGAGTCCCCGTGTTGCCAGAAGAGGGCAGTCCATCCAATTTTCGTTCACGCCGGGCGGTTTGCTAGCGCCTGTGCCGGAAAAGCGGCAGATCGGATCCAGGAACGACGCAAAACCGCCATCGGCCAGCAAGTCCGGGCCTTGGCGATCAAATGCTGCATGTGAGCACGTGTGTGCTTATCCCTTAAATCAAGGAACCGTCATGGACGGCTCTTACTAGTGCTAGGAGAAAGCAATAGTAGCCCTTGGCATGCATCGAAGTATGTTCTTGACTTATCCTGGGTACACTTATCTACCCCGAAACTTACTGTGACTGACTGTTTACCCAGCCCAGTGTAGGTAATCATCTCTCTGAATAATTGTAGAAATACCATGGACTTCAGTCTCTCACCTGATAAAACCGCTAGTCGTGGTAATCTGGTTATTGTTGAATTGCGGGGGGGAACCCGTGCTGAAGCTCTAATCTTAGAGCCGAGCAGAAGAGATGAGGTAAATCAAAGTCCCGAAGCGGGTCTTCACTAACCATTAGTTTAAAAGGCCTTTTTTCCGATATCCGTATAAGAGGCTTGAATGTTAGGTCTATATGTTGGTAAGCGGCCAGCTGCAAGTCCCAACCTTGATGACGTTGGCTTAAAATGGTAAAAATGCAACGGAGGGCCTAAGAACAGGTTGGAAGCTTAGCAGAAACATAGTTGCCTTGTGTCGGACGTCAAAGCACTTACCTCAAGCGCTAACCAGTCCTACGGCACAACTTTCTAGAATGCGCTATTCAACCTGGGCAATGTCCAACATGAGTAACAGGGCAGCTTGGCCCATGTTACGTACGCTATGAGAATTGGGTAGCTAAATATTTACCAACTAAACAAACAGTGCTTCTGCATTCTTCTAGCATCCACCTGCACTAGTTTTCCACTCAGTAAATTGGCCAACTTCGTACTTCATCTACACCAAGCCTCTTCTTATAATTGCCATCCTGGTCACCCCCCCCCCCCCCCCCCCGGATCACACTGGCCACCAAATACATCGCTTAATGTAATGGGACCAAAATTCAGGCCAAAGGCCAAATTATAAATGCATCATAGACATCTCTCATACATTGATTTATCCTGTCGCTCTGAGAATAAAGGGAAGTCAGGGCAACGTCAGGGCAGCACTTCTCAAAAATCATTTACAAAATAGAACACACTTTCAACTGGAACCAAACAGCTATGATGATATAGTGCTAACGTCTTCGCGTCGCAAATGACACCAGGTCGCCTCCCTGAATTCAAGCGAATGCGTCTCGACTCGGAAGATAAATCCATTCATTGGCGACATGACTGGCTTTACCTTTCTGCCACCCAACTCACAACAACGCAGCATATCCAAGGATTACATCTCAGTTCCCTTTTGCCCCTTCCTTCACACTACAGGGCAGTTAGTATGGTAAACACCCTTTTACTATGAAACGCTCAGCTTTCAAACTAGGCATGGGGTATTGCTTTCAGTGTGAGGCGTAGTGGAATCTCAAGTTAACCGCATGAAATGACTGTTATCTCGCATTGGCCTCCCGAGTTGGCGCCCACACTAGTGTACTCACAAAGTTTCCTCATTGGCATGTTTCAACAGAGGTTTGCTCCGTGATGCTGCGTGTACTCAACGGCACACGCGACTGAATCGTTTGTTTGAGAGTTTCGCATATTGATCCTCGCAGATCTGACCGCTCACTGAGATGTTCAATTTCCT